CGCCCCTGAACTTTGCAGAGGAACCGAAAACAGCCCTAACCGGAACCTTGAAGACGAGCCCCAAATCCCACCCAACTGAAGGAGGCTGAGCCCTTGAAATTCGGAATCCACTCATAAGTGGCCGGAACCTGGTCACAGTCTGCCTTGCTCGGAATTCCCTGAGAAGTATGAGAAAGACGGGGTCGGAGAAAGGGGGGGGGGGGGCCGGGGGTGGGGGCGGGGGTTGAAGATGAGTCGGTGTTGTGATGTGCCAGCAAAACAGCAAAACAGCGGTTAGATGCGTTTTCTGGGACTTCGGGGTTGGTTCACGTCGAGCCTTGAAGCCCAAATCGATCCCAATCGCCGCGGGCGAAAGTCGCCACTGCAGCGCTCCTCTCGTTCCACGCGTAGCCGAATGTATATGTATATTGTATATATACATATATATATATATATAGATGTATATACATATATACATATATACATATATACATATATACATATATACATATATACATATATACATATATACATATATACATATATACATATATACATATATACATATATACATATATACATATATGTATATACACATATATACATATACACATATATACATATATACATATATACATATACACATATATACATATATACATATATACGTATATATGTATATTCTGCCTCTTGTCGGCATGTTCTCGGTTTTTTTTGTCTTCGCTGACACACCGACGAGCCTTGGTTCATGGTCCGTCTTCACAGAGCTCGCCAGACCGTCCAACCTCTGTCGCCCGGAGCCCTGCGCTCATATAGCCACCATGGCACGTCTGCAAGTACCGCAAGGATTTTGTTGGGATGCTCCCCCTTATACCAACAGTCCTGCACAGGGACCACAGTACCCCCTTTGACAATCCCTGCTAGAGGGCCCTTGTGCATTCGCTTAAGAGCCAAGGTCCAAGACTCCCTGCAAGCTCTGTTCCGATGCAGCGGCCGCGACATCATCGCCTGAAAGCTTCAACAGAGCCGAGGGTTTGTGGTTTCAAACTCATCATGTGGGTAGTTCTCTAAATTAGGGTCCCTTTTTGGGATCCCTTTTTAAAGGGTGCCGCCTATGGGTACCATGCGTACCCAAAAGGGACCCTAGTTTAGGAAACTACCCATGTATCGTTGTGGCCCGTTGGTCCTGTGAACTTCCCGTCCGCTTCCGAGGGGGGGGGTGCTTCGACAGCATCCGTTTAGGGTTTGCTCATCTACAGCGTACTGCTATACCGTCTCCATTACATCGAGAGATCCTATGGGTCCTGCGGGCCATACCTTGGGGGCTGATTGAGTCCCCAAGGACCAGCCCTTGCCCAGACTTTTCAACGTGCTTTTGGATGGGCAGAGACGGGCCGCGCCGGGGAGCAGAAGCACCCCCGGAGGCTTTATGGCAGCACAGGGGCCCTGGAGGAGGGTTAGTAGTCACAGAGCTTTGAGCGGGGTTTAGGGATTCGGGTTTAGAGTTTAGGGTTTATTGATTAAAGTGTTCGGGGCGACAGGTCTACGTACAATCTCTGACCAGCGAAGTTACCCGCGCATCCAAGAATGCAGTTCTCTACCAGTGCCCCGTGAGAAAAAGAGTATCGACATACGCGAGATTCAACCTCTTTCAGGCACTGATGTTTGTGTGCATTAGGCTGAAGCTGCTGCGTCCTTTCGTGCAACGAACGGCGGGCGCGCCCTGAGGACTAGCAATAGCTCGACTATCATTGAAGTTTGAAGGGTTCATACGGAGCAGTGTGGGGTATTTGGGCGGAACATCCCCCCTGGAGCACTGTCCGCGCGGTCGCAGCTCCCTTGTGGATCACTCGTATACATCCTCGCAAGTGTGGCACAAGTCCACGGCACAGTCGTGCACACGCTTGGGCAGCTTGGTCCTGAGCAGAGTCGATGCAGAGGTTGGTTGTGCGATGCCCTGTGGGAGCAAACAGGTGCAAGCGGAAACAGGTGCGAGCGCGTGGCGTGGCCTAAGCCAGAGGCCTCCAAAGTCCCTTCCATGCAAACCTTGGGGACCGCATGGCCACTTTAACACGAGAATCCCGCTTGCTTTTTGTACCATAAGCCTCTTTTAGGGTTCATGGCGTCCCCCAGGAAGTTTAGGCCAAGACTCAAAAGGCCCTGGACTGCAAACCCCACCAGGGTTCAGGGTTCAGGCTTTGGCGTTGAGGGCCTGGGGCTTAGGGTAAGCCCAAAAGACACATGATCAGGGACTTTGTGCACTCGGGACTGTTTGTGGTCAGAAGGACCAATGCGTTTTTTTTTTTTGGCGTTAAACACCGTTTAGGGCCTTACTTTAACACCCTAAAGCCCCAAACCGTAGGCGGGTGGCAAGAAAGCAAACCCTCAAGCCCTCAAACCCTGAAACCCTAAAACCCAAGCCCTACTGCAAGCCCTGCCAACCCTAAACCCTAAACCCTAAACCCTAAACCCTAAACCCTAAACCCTAAACCCTAAACCCTAAACCCTAAACCCTAAACCCTGAACCCTGAACCCTGAACCCTGAACCCTGAACCCTGCACCCTGAACCCTGAACCCTGAACCCTGAACCCTGAACCCTGAACCCTGAACCCTGAACCCTGAACCCTGAACCCTGAACCCTGAACCCTGAACCCTAACCCTAAACCCTAAACCCTAAACCCTAAACCAAATCCCCGAACAGATGGAGAGCATCGCCTTTGTGGGCGAGTCCACTCTGCGCTTCCAGGAGAAAGCGTCGGCCTCGGCGGGTTTTGGGGGGATGGGGGGGGGGTGGGTGGGGGCGGGGTGGGGGCGGGAGCACCTCATATCATATGCTGTATTACGATATTCGGGGTACCATATTGGGGTCTTTTGAGAGGTAATCCTATGATTTGGGGGTGTATTTTCGGGGTCCCCTTATTTTCGTAAACCCCCATATCAGGGTTTAGGGTTTAGGGTTTAGGGTTTAGGGCTTAGGGCTTAGGGCTTAGGGCTTAGGGTATATATGCACATATATATATATATGTATTTATGAGATATGCATACAGTCAGTTATTTCTTTATATGTACATCTGTGTACACAGAGAAAAGTTATAAGAGAGAGAGAGAGAGAGAAGTAATATAAGCATAAATGTTGATCAGTTACATGTATGTCATATAGATTGTATACACACACACACATATATATATATATACACATATCTTTATATTTATATTTGTATTCATATTATATTTCTATTTACATTTATTACAACCGCATGTGTTTTTGCACACGTAGGTGTGTATATATGTATATATACAGATACGTACTATCTGCCTGCATATTTCTGTATATCATGTCACAATATACATACACACAAATATGTATCTACATTTTTAGAGAGAGAGAGAGAGAGAGCGCGAGTAAAGGTGCTAGGAAAGAACGAAAGAACGAAAGAACGCAAGAACGAAATAACGAAAGAACGAACGAACGAAAAAACGAAACGAACGAACGAAAGAACGAAAGAACGAAAGAACGAAAACACGGACGAAGGAACGAAAGAAGGAAATAAAGCAATAAAGAAAGAAAGAAAGGAAGGGAGAAAGAACGACAGAAAGACAGAAAGAAAGAAAGAGCGAAAGAAATAAAGAACGACAGAAAGACAGAAAGACAGAAATAAGGAAACAAAAAGAAATAATGAAAAAAAGGCATACAGAGAAAGAGAGAGAAAAAGAGAGAGAGCGCTACTGCACCAGGCTTCTAGATTATTGACTGAATCCTCCGAGTCTAGGGTTTCGGATTTTTCGGCTTTAGCATATACTATGCTGGGGGGGGAAGCTGTCCCAAGAGATCGCTAGGAGACTGGTTTGGGGGAGTTTGGCTTACTCGATTGGGAGGGGGCCACAGCCATTTGCTCCAGCCAGCTGGGGCTCTTTTGAGCATTTGTCGAGACTGCCCGCGCTCTACAAAGTCTGCCAGGCGCTCATCTGTATGACGTTGAGATAGGATTTGACTTTATAGATCAACAATGGCCCACCGGCTCAAGCTTGCCAGAGTTTGTGCCCTGTGGCGACGCCATGGCCAGGCCGGGGGTGTCGCTTGGAAGGTCGCAGAAGCCCGCAGCCCAAGAGTGGTGAGTGTCTGATGTCGGGGAGCTGTCTGTGCAACGTGGGGTCAGGGGCCCATAAGCTAGTCAGCTTATGGAGTAGCGGATGCTCTCTCCTCTGCTTCCCATCTCCACAACTCTTCTGCCGAACAGAGCATGCACGCAATGTGTAATTTATATTTATATTATATTTATATTTTTATTTATATTATATTATCTTATATGATATGATATGATATTATGTTACATATATACATATATAGAAGGTATGTATGTACATATTCCACATGTGTGTATGTGTATCTGTCTCTCTGTCTATGCTCGTCGTCGCCATCCGCATCAAACTTGCCCTGGTCAAGCAAAGATCTCGTGCAGCTTAGCCGGATGCTACACTTGAAACCCCGACCTTTGTGCCAGAACATGTGTAGAAGTGGGAGGATCTGCCAGTTTTTCTCTCCGGAGCCCATCCTATCCCTTCAATCCAAAGCCCTCAGTCGTTGACACCCGAACATGGCTCCGGGCTATCTGCGCGGTCCCGCGCCAGTGCGGCTGGTGCGAGGCGTCAGGAGTTTGATTTGCGGGGAAGAACTGGCAAAACAGCTGGCTGCTGCGTAGCCTATGTACATTTCTTTTCGGCGCTTTAGGTCTCCATGCAATACACGCATGCCGGCATGCCTGCGTGCGCACGTAGTAATCTGTCTCGCTCTGTCGCCCCCTCCCTCCCGCTCTATCTCTTTCTCTCTCTCGCTCTGTCTCTTTGGCTCTCACGCTGTAGAAGTAGATGTGGTTGGAGGGGTGTACGGTGTCGGGACGACTCATTGAAGGCGGCGGCTCTAGCGTGCTTGCCAGACGTTGGTGGAGGTGGGCGTTCAAGGATTGCATGTCTTTCGCATCTGCTCTCTTCCACCTCCCGCCCTTCCTTACAGCTCTGTCAAGGCACGGCAGCATCTGGTGGGCGAACAGACGCGGCATAGAGTGCCTGGCCATCGTCATGCAGACAGCCTTGTCCGACTACAGCGTGGCCGGTGCAGGATCAGGAATGAAACACACCTGCGTTGTAAGCGCGCAAGGGGAACTGTTCTGCTTTGGAAGCAATGCGCATGATCAGTGCAATGTGCCCGCGTATGTCGGACCCACACTCACTGTTTCCACGGGCGACTATCACAGCTGTGCAGTGCAGGCAAGTGGCCAACTGGTTTGCTTCGGCGAAAATGAGTATGGCCAGTGCGATGTGCCGGCAGACCTGGGAACAGTTTTGGCCGTGTCGGCAGGCCGGCATCATACGTGCGCCGTGAAGTCAGATGGGACGCTAGTGTGCTTTGGCTCAGGCGATGATGGGCCTGTTCGAGTGCCTGCAGATTTAGGGACCATCACGACGGTATCAGCGGGCGCAGCTCACACGTGTGTGGTGACAACCGGAGGTGAACTCGTGTGCTTTGGTGATGACAAGAAGGGTCAGTGCACCGTACCGGTCAGCATTGGACCCGTTGTGGACGTTTCGGCGGGCTCTGCGCACAGCTGTGCCATCACGGCAAAGGGCGAGCTGCTTTGTTTTGGAGACAACGAGTGTGGCCAGTGCGATGTCCCGGTAGACTTGAAAGGCGTAGGAGCTGTGGCTTCGGTTTGTGCAGGTGCTACGCACACTTGTGCTGTAACTCCGCGTGGACAGCTCGTGTGCTTTGGACAAAATGACCATGGCCAGTGTAACGTGCCAGCAGACCTGAAAGCAGTCGTGGCTGTGTCCGCTGGTGCGAGGCACACTTGCGCCCTTTGTGCGGACGGTGAGTTGATCTGCTTCGGCTCTAATGACTCCGGCCAATGCGACGTTTGGAGGGCCGAGGTTTCCTTTGGCACTGGCCGGCGCGTATAGGGACCCAGTTGGAGTTCCAAGTGTCGTTCCGAATCACAAGCATCCAAAGGGTGGTGCAGCTGAAGGTTTTTTCAACCTTTGAGGGTCGAATCTGAGGATGTTTGTGGGCCCAGCTCGTGGCGGCTTACGTCGCGGCGTTTAGCTTCAGAACCTGTGGACCGAAAGGGATGCAGCAGGCATTTACAAAGAGTGAGGGAAGCCACCGTAGATTACCACTACGACGACGACGACTACTACCTAATTACTAACTACTACTAACTACTAACTTCTAGTTACTAACTACTACTGGCTACTAGCTGCTACTAGCTACTACTAACTGCTACGAACTACTACTAACTCTTACTAGCTACTACTAACTGCTTGAAACTACTAGTAACTACCGCGAGCCACCACTAACTACAATTAACTACTACTAGCAACTACCACTAACTACCACTAGCTACCACTAACAATCGCTAACTTACTACTAACAATACTAACCACTACTAATTACTACTAATTACTAACTACTACTAACTACTACTAACCACTACTAACCACTACGAACCACCACTAACTACCACTAACTCTAACTGACTACTACTAACTACTTCTAACTACTTCTAACTATTACTATTACTATTACTATTACTATTACTATTACCATTACCATTACCATTACTATTACTATTACTATTACTATTTCTATTACTATTACTATTTCTATTACTATTACTATTACTATTGCTATTACTATTACTATTACTATTACTATTATTATTACCATTACTATTACTATTACTATTACTATTACTATTACTATTACTATTACTATTACTATTATTATTACTATTATGATTACTATTACTATTACTATACTTTTTCTACTACTACTACTACTACTGACTACTACTACTACTACTACTACTACTACTACTACTACTACTACTACTACTACTACTACTACTACTACTACACTACTACTACTACTACTACTACTACTACTACTACTACTACTACTACTACTACTACTACTACTACTACTACTACTACTACTACTGCTACTGCTACTGCTACTACTGCTACTGCTACTGCTACTGCTACTGCTACTGCTACTACTGCTGCTGCCTGCTGGCTGCTACTGCTACTGCTACTGCTACTGCTACTGCTTACTGCTACTGCTACTATATTGCTACTACTACTACTACTACTACTACACTACACTACTAACTACTACTACTACTAATACTACTACTACTACTACGGCTACTGCTACTGCTACTGACTGCTACTGCTACTACTGCTACTGCTACTGCTCTGCTACTGCTAACTACTTCTACTACTACTACACTACTACTGCTGCTACTACTACTACTACTACTACTACTACTACTACTACTACTACTCCTGCTACTACTACTCCTGCTGCTACTACTACTACTACTACTACTACTACTACTACTACTACTACTACTACTACTACTACTACTAACTGCTACTGCTACTGCTACTGCTACTGCTACTGCTACTGCTACTACTACTGCTCCTACTGCTCCTACTGCTGCTGCTGCTGCTGCTACTGCTGCTACTGCTGAACTGAAGCCTTTGACCAGAGTCTGCGGCCTTGAAGTCATGAAGGCCGGCGGCTGCTTGGGCTGACAAGGATCCTTCCAACCCCTTAGCACCGTTCCGCGCCCTCTTTTAGGGTTAAGGGTTTAGGGTACCTGACATGTTGGAGGAGACTTCCAGGGCGTTTTTGTTGTTGGGCGTGGGTGTTGCTGAATCAAGGTTACCGGCTCAGCTTGGTGCCCAAGCTCGCTTCGAACGCCCTTGGGACCTTAGGACCTTAGGAAAGTTTTAGGGCCCAGGATGGCAAGCAATGCGGAGGTGCCGGAGGATGCCGACGACGAGATCGTTCAGGTGGAAGCCAAGACCGAGGAGCTGAAGCCGACGAAGGCCAAGATCAAGCCCGCCTCCGTTTGCAAGCTCTTTTCCATGATGGACTGTCTCGAGGTGGTGGTGTTGCTGACCGGCTGTGTTGGAGCCATTGGCAATGGCTTGTCGCAGCCATTGCTGTGCATCGTCTTCGGCGACCTCATTGATGGCATGGGTGCTGCTACGGGTGGCACGGCCTCCTTCACCAGCGAGCAGATGCTGGCCGCCATGGACGGCATGATGTCGCAGATGGAGGAGCTCTGCATCACCATGGTGCTCGTGGGCGTGGGCGCCACCTTCGCCGCCTCCCTTCAGGGAGCCTGCTTCAAGATCTTTGCGGAGAAGCAGGCCTTCAAGTTCCGGGTCCTCTACTTCGACACGGTGCTCCACCAGGACGTGAGCTGGTTCGACACGAAGGAGGTTGCCGCACTGCCGGCCGAGATCAACGACGACCTGGAGAAGATCCAAGACGCCTTCGGCGACAAGTTCGGGAACGGCGTGATGGCCCTCTCTGCGTTCCTGGGCGGCTTCGGCTGTGCATTCGGCCTCGGCTGGCTCATCGCACTGGTGATGTGCTCCATCCTGCCCTTCATGGGTGTTGGTGCCGCCATCATGGGAAAGGCGGTCCAGGAGATTCAGAACGAGTCGCAGAGCTGGTACGCCAAGGCCTCGGCGGTCGTCGAGGAGTGCCTCAACGCCATGCGCACCGTCGTGGCCTTCGGTGGGGAGCACCGCGAGCTGAAGAAGTTCTCGGCCGCCCTGGTCGAGACGCGACGCGGCGGGGTGCGGAACGGCTTCAAGGTCGGCGCTGGCATGGGCTACACCATGATGATCGTGTTCTTGGGATATGGCCTGGCCTTCTGGTTCGGCATGACACTGCGATACAACGACGAGCTGAACCCAGCTACCGGAGAGCTCTGGGAGCCCGGCACGATTATGGCCATCTTCTTCTGCATCTTCATCGGCAGCTTCATGATCGGCAACCTCGACCCGAGCATCAAGGCCATGAAGGCCGCGCAGACGGCGGCGGGGCGCTTCTTCCTGGCTTTGGAGAACAAGCCCAACATCCAGTGCCGCCTGGAGGACAAGCGCGAGGACATCAGCAACATCGACAGCTTTGAATTCCAGGATGTGCACTTCACCTACCCGGCACGGCCTGATGTCAAGGTCCTGAACGGCCTGTCCCTGACCATCAAGAGGGGTCAGAAAGTGGCAGTGGTCGGCGAGTCGGGATCAGGGAAGTCCACCGTCATGGCTCTTCTCGAGCGCTTCTACGACCCGGACTCCGGGCAGGTGTTGGTGAACGGCCGGAACATGACGAGCTTCAAGACGTCGGCCTTGCGACAGTGCGTTGGCTACGTGGGCCAGGAGCCGGTGCTCTTTGCCAGCTCGATCCGCCACAACATCATGCAGGGCAACCCATCAGCCAGTAAGGAGGACTTCGCCAAGGCCTGCGCGGACGCCCAGCTGGGCTTTGTGGACGGGCTGCCGGAAAAGTACAACACTTTCGTCGGCAGCGGCGGCGGCCAGCTGTCTGGGGGTCAGAAACAGCGCATCGCCATTGCCAGGGCCCTGCTGAAGAAGTCTTCCTTCCTCTTCCTGGACGAGGCCACCAGTGCTTTGGACAACGCATCAGAGAAGATGATCCAGGCCACGATCGACAGCATCAGCGCAAATACCACCGAAGGCCTGGGGATTGTAAGCATTGCCCACCGCCTCAGCACTGTGCGCAACTCTGATCTCATTTACGTGCTCAGCCGCGGCACGTTGGTGGAGCAGGGCAACCATGCCTCGCTCATGGAGAAGAAGGGCACTTACTATGCCCTGGTCGCGGCCCAGGAGTCGTCTCACAAGGCGGACGATGAGGACACCAACGCGCCCGGCTTGCCCCACGACAACACCGTGGCGATGGTGAAGCGCTCCTCGACAAACTCCGGAGAGTCAGAGACCCAGCGTGTGAAGAAGGAGAAGGAGGCGGAAGCCAATCGAGAAAAGGACATCGTCAAGAATTACAAGGTGCCGATGAGGCGACTCCTCAGCTACAACAGGCCAGAGTGGCCTTTCTTTGTGCCCGCTGTGCTTGGTGCGATGGTGGACGGATCTGCAATGCCCGTTTGCACGATCGCCCTCGTCGGGTCCATGGACGGCTTCTACAAGCCAGACAAAGAGGAGATGCGGTCTGACTTGGAACTCATGGCACTCATCTTTGTGATTATTGGCGTGAGTACCCTCGTTGGGTCGACCATCTCGCATGGCTGCTTCTCAATTCTCGGTGAGGCCATGACGCAGCGTCTCCGTGTGGCTATCTTGACGGGCATGTTCCGTCAGGAGGTGGGATTCCATGATGATCCAGCCAACACACCAGGAATGCTTTCGAAGGCCCTGGAGCTTTGGGCATTCCGCGTCTCCACGCTGTGCAAGTCCGTGCAGGCTAAGGCAGCGGCCATGAGTTCGTTGGTTGTGGGTCTCGTGATCGCCTTCGTCTACTGCTGGCAGATGTCGCTCGTCATGCTGGGCTCCATCCCAATCATGATTGCGGCCCAGGCCATCCAGATGCTGGTGCTCCTCGGTGCCTCGAAAACGGAGAATGAGAACATCACCAACGCCAACCAGATCGTCGTCGACTCCGTGATGAACGCTCGCACAGTGCAGGCGTTGGGTGTGGAGAAGGGATTGGTGGGCATGTATGTTGGTTGGGTTGAGAAGTCCCTGGTCGGCATGTGGAGGCGCAACATTTTGGCAGGACTTGGCTTCGGAGTCTCCAACGGCATCATGTTCTTCATCATGGCCGGTGGCTTCTACGTCGCGTCTCTGCTGATCAAGGAAGGCGTCGCCGACTTCCAGGGCGTGATGATGGCCTTCATGGGCATCTTCTACGCAGGCGCTCGCAGGGGGGGGGGGGGCTCGCAAGGGGGCTTCGACGCTCGTCTAGGAGTAGAGCTGCATGCCCAGCCTTATATCGGCTAGGAAGTAGAGCCTGCGTTAGAGCCTGCGTGCGTCGTGCGTAGCGCTATAAGACGTCGACGTCGAGCCGTCCTTCTCTCTGTAATCAAGCCTAGACGTCAGCTTCTCCGTGTCATCCCGCTCGTCGCTTCTTTTCCTCCATGCGTTTCCGCGAGGCATGGGAGCTGGCCAGGCCGCCGTGATGGTGGGCGACGCCACGAAGGCCAAGGTGGCGTGCCACGACATGTTCCAGCTCATGGACCGTATCTCGGCCATCGACGGCTTGGAGCCCAAGGGCGAGTCTCCCCAGGGGCTGCAGGCTGGCCACATTGAGTTCCGGGACGTGAAGTTCTTCTACCCCTTCCGTCCGGAGGTCCAGGTGCTCAAGGGCATCTCCTTCAGCATCTCCGCAGGGCAGTCGGTGGGTCTGGTCGGTCCCTCCGGCGGCGGCAAGAGCACCGTGATGTCCTTGATCCAGCGCTTCTACGATCCCCAGAACGGCCAGGTCTTCGTGGGTTCCGAGCGCGTCGCGCTGAACACCGTGAACATCCGGTGGTGGCGCCGCCAGATTGGCTTCGTGGGCCAGGAGCCCATCCTCTTCAACACCACCGTGCGTGCCAACATCATGTACGGCCTGGATGATGGCGAGACCGTCACCGACGAGTATGTCAAGCAGTGTGAGAAGATGGCAAACTTGGCTTTCTTGTACAAGAATGGCAATAAGGGCCTAGAGACGGAGGTCGGCCCCAGGGGTAGCCGCCTCTCTGGCGGCCAGAAGCAGCGGGTGGCCATCTGCAGGGCACTTATCCGCAATCCACCGGTGATGCTGCTGGATGAGGCCACCAGCGCGCTGGACACGCAGAGCGAGGCGATTGTGCAGAAGGCCCTGGAGGCCGCGCGGGAGGGCCGCACCTCCTTCGCCATCGCGCACCGGCTGTCCACCATCCAAGGCTGCGACGTCATCCTCGTCAACGCCGATGGCCGCGTGGTGGAGAAAGGGAACCACGCGGAGCTGATGGCCCTGAAGGGAGTCTACTACAAGCTTCAGATGCAGGCGCAGAAGTGAGCGCCGACGTGCACCAACGTGCACCAAGCGATGGCAAGTGCAGTGCATCATTGCCTTGAGGTTGTTCATTCCGCCAACTGCCAAGCAGTTGGACACATCAAACATCTGGCTTCGCCCTTTTTTTTGCGTTAGCCTCCCCCCCCCCCCGCTTCTCTTAAGAGCAAGGTGCCCCCAACACTCGAAACGAGAACTGAGATTCCTATCCGTAGGCGACACGCTTGCTTCTGAGAAGTGCAGTGTTAGTCCGTTTGTCCAGCGTGCAATACGCGTTTTGCTTTATTTCTGCTGCGGTGTTTCTGCACACCTGGACGGATAGTCCTGGGTGGCAAAAACGCTCTCAGCACTCTTAACAAAGAGCACCTCACCGGTCTCCGCGCACGCTTTCAGGGCCCGCCGGCCATGCCATACGGATTGTAGGCATGCAGGGGGCGAAGGACCGAAGGCCTCTGCGTGGGGATTTTGGCAGCTCCGGAGCGTGTTTGCGTTGTGTTTTGGGCGCGCGAGTTGCCTATGTGAGCATATGTGCTTGTTGGGGGCGGTTGCTCCGGAGCTTCCTGGTGGTACAGAGTTGATCAGTTGATCCATGTACAGGCGGATCTTTGTTCGGGAGGTCCACTCCTTAGCCCTCGAACCTGCAGGGCCTTCGTTTGGGAAGGCCACCAACAGCTGAGACTTGCGGCCGAAGGCTGCGTTTCTGGCTCCTTCCATGGCTTGTCCAAAAAAGGGTCGTGTGCTCCGCTTGCTTCAGTGCGATCTGTGGAGCCCAGTTGTGCTGGCCTGACTGCGGCCTGACATGTTGGGCAGGCGGGAAGATGCGAGAAGCCTTCCAGGGGTGTCGGTGTTTGTAGGGGCGTCTCGTGTTTTTGTTTTTGTTGTTGGGCGTGGGTGTTGCTGAATCAAGGTTACCGGCTCAGCTTGGTGCCCAAGCTCGCTTCGAACGCCCTTGGGACCTTAGGACCTTAGGAAAGTTTTAGGGCCCAGGATGGCAAGCAATGCGGAGGTGCCGGAGGATGCCGACGACGAGATCGTTCAGGTGGAAGCCAAGACCGAGGAGCTGAAGCCGACGAAGGCCAAGATCAAGCCCGCCTCCGTTTGCAAGCTCTTTTCCATGATGGACTGTCTCGAGGTGGTGGTGTTGCTGACCGGCTGTGTTGGAGCCATTGGCAATGGCTTGTCGCAGCCATTGCTGTGCATCGTCTTCGGCGACCTCATTGATGGCATGGGTGCTGCTACGGGTGGCACGGCCTCCTTCACCAGCGAGCAGATGCTGGCCGCCATGGACGGCATGATGTCGCAGATGGAGGAGCTCTGCATCACCATGGTGCTCGTGGGCGTGGGCGCCACCTTCGCCGCCTCCCTTCAGGGAGCCTGCTTCAAGATCTTTGCGGAGAAGCAGGCCTTCAAGTTCCGGGTCCTCTACTTCGACACGGTGCTCCACCAGGACGTGAGCTGGTTCGACACGAAGGAGGTTGCCGCACTGCCGGCCGAGATCAACGACGACCTGGAGAAGATCCAAGACGCCTTCGGCGACAAGTTCGGGAACGGCGTGATGGCCCTCTCTGCGTTCCTGGGCGGCTTCGGCTGTGCATTCGGCCTCGGCTGGCTCATCGCACTGGTGATGTGCTCCATCCTGCCCTTCATGGGTGTTGGTGCCGCCATCATGGGAAAGGCGGTCCAGGAGATTCAGAACGAGTCGCAGAGCTGGTACGCCAAGGCCTCGGCGGTCGTCGAGGAGTGCCTCAACGCCATGCGCACCGTCGTGGCCTTCGGTGGGGAGCACCGCGAGCTGAAGAAGTTCTCGGCCGCCCTGGTCGAGACGCGACGCGGCGGGGTGCGGAACGGCTTCAAGGTCGGCGCTGGCATGGGCTACACCATGATGATCGTGTTCTTGGGATATGGCCTGGCCTTCTGGTTCGGCATGACACTGCGATACAACGACGAGCTGAACCCAGCTACCGGAGAGCTCTGGGAGCCCGGCACGATTATGGCCATCTTCTTCTGCATCTTCATCGGCAGCTTCATGATCGGCAACCTCGACCCGAGCATCAAGGCCATGAAGGCCGCGCAGACGGCGGCGGGGCGCTTCTTCCTGGCTTTGGAGAACAAGCCCAACATCCAGTGCCGCCTGGAGGACAAGCGCGAGGACATCAGCAACATCGACAGCTTTGAATTCCAGGATGTGCACTTCACCTACCCGGCACGGCCTGATGTCAAGGTCCTGAACGGCCTGTCCCTGACCATCAAGAGGGGTCAGAAAGTGGCAGTGGTCGGCGAGTCGGGATCAGGGAAGTCCACCGTCATGGCTCTTCTCGAGCGCTTCTACGACCCGGACTCCGGGCAGGTGTTGGTGAACGGCCGGAACATGACGAGCTTCAAGACGTCGGCCTTGCGACAGTGCGTTGGCTACGTGGGCCAGGAGCCGGTGCTCTTTGCCAGCTCGATCCGCCACAACATCATGCAGGGCAACCCATCAGCCAGTAAGGAGGACTTCGCCAAGGCCTGCGCGGACGCCCAGCTGGGCTTTGTGGATGGGCTGCCGGAAAAGTACAACACTTTCGTCGGCAGCGGCGGCGGCCAGCTGTCTGGGGGTCAGAAACAGCGCATCGCCATTGCCAGGGCCCTGCTGAAGAAGTCTTCCTTCCTCTTCCTGGACGAGGCCACCAGTGCTTTGGACAACGCATCAGAGAAGATGATCCAGGCCACGATCGACAGCATCAGCGCAAATACCACCGAAGGCCTGGGGATTGTAAGCATTGCCCACCGCCTCAGCACTGTGCGCAACTCTGATCTCATTTACGTGCTCAGCCGCGGCACGTTGGTGGAGCAGGGCAACCATGCCTCGCTCATGGAGAAGAAGGGCACTTACTATGCCCTGGTCGCGGCCCAGGAGTCGTCTCACAAGGCGGACGATGAGGACACCAACGCGCCCGGCTTGCCCCACGACAACACCGTGGCGATGGTGAAGCGCTCCTCGACAAACTCCGGAGAGTCAGAGACCCAGCGTGTGAAGAAGGAGAAGGAGGCGGAAGCCAATCGAGAAAAGGACATCGTCAAGAATTACAAGGTGCCGATGAGGCGACTCCTCAGCTACAACAGGCCAGAGTGGCCTTTCTTTGTGCCCGCTGTGCTTGGTGCGATGGTGGACGGATCTGCAATGCCCGTTTGCACGATCGCCCTCGTCGGGTCCATGGACGGCTTCTACAAGCCAGACAAAGAGGAGATGCGGTCTGACTTGGAACTCATGGCACTCATCTTTGTGATTATTGGCGTGAGTACCCTCGTTGGGTCGACCATCTCGCATGGCTGCTTCTCAATTCTCGGTGAGGCCATGACGCAGCGTCTCCGTGTGGCTATCTTGACGGGCATGTTCCGTCAGGAGGTGGGATTCCATGATGATCCAGCCAACACACCAGGAATGCTTTCGAAGGCCCTGGAGCTTTGGGCATTCCGCGTCTCCACGCTGTGCAAGTCCGTGCAGGCTAAGGCAGCGGCCATGAGTTCGTTGGTTGTGGGTCTCGTGATCGCCTTCGTCTACTGCTGGCAGATGTCGCTCGTCATGCTGGGCTCCATCCCAATCATGATTGCGGCCCAGGCCATCCAGATGCTGGTGCTCCTCGGTGCCTCGAAAACGGAGAATGAGAACATCACCAACGCCAACCAGATCGTCGTCGACTCCGTGATGAACGCTCGCACAGTGCAGGCGTTGGGTGTGGAGAAGGGCTTGGTGGGCATGTATGTTGGTTGGGTTGAGAAGTCCCTGGTCGGCATGTGGAGGCGCAACATTTTGGCAGGACTTGGCTTCGGAGTCTCCAACGGCATCATGTTCTTCATCATGGCCGGTGGCTTCTACGTCGCGTCTCTGCTGATCAAGGAAGGCGTCGCCGACTTCCAGGGCGTGATGATGGCCTTCATGGGCATCTTCTACGCAGGCGCTCGCAGGGAGGGGGTGGGGAGGCTCGCAAGGGGCTTCGACGCTCGTCTAGGAGTAGAGCTGTATGTTCAGCCTTATATCGGCTAGGAAGTAGAGCCTGCGTTAGAGCCTGCGTGCGTCGTGCGTAGCGCTATAAGGGGCCCCCACAGACGTCGACGTCGAGCCATCCTTCTCTCTGTAATCAAGCCTAGACGTCAGCTTCTCCGTGTCATCCCGCTCGTCGCTTCTTTTCCTCCATGCGTTTCCGCGAGGCATGGGAGCTGGCCAGGCCGCCGTGATGGTGGGCGACGCCACGAAGGCCAAGGTGGCGTGCCACGACATGTTCCAGCTCATGGACCGTATCTCGGCCATCGATGGCTTGGAGCCCAAGGGCGAGTCTCCCCAGGGGCTGCAGGCTGGCCACATTGAGTTCCGGGACGTGAAGTTCTTCTACCCCTTCCGTCCGGAGGTCCAGGTGCTCAAGGGCATCTCCTTCAGCATCTCCGCAGGGCAGTCGGTGGGTCTGGTCGGTCCCTCCGGCGGCGGCAAGAGCACCGTGATGTCCTTGATCCAGCGCTTCTACGATCCCCAGAACGGCCAGGTCTTCGTGGGTTCCGAGCGCGTCGCGCTGAACACCGTGAACATCCGGTGGTGGCGCCGCCAGATTGGCTTCGTGGGCCAGGAGCCCATCCTCTTCAACACCACCGTGCGTGCCAACATCATGTACGGCCTGGATGATGGCGAGACCGTCACCGACGAGTATGTCAAGCAGTGTGAGAAGATGGCAAACTTGGCTTTCTTGTACAAGAATGGCAATAAGGGCCTAGAGACGGAGGTCGGCCCCAGGGGTAGCCGCCTCTCTGGCGGCCAGAAGCAGCGGGTGGCCATCTGCAGGGCACTTATCCGCAATCCACCGGTGATGCTGCTGGATGAGGCCACCAGCGCGCTGGACACGCAGAGCGAGGCGATCGTGCAGAAGGCCCTGGAGGCCGCGCGGGAGGGCCGCACCTCCTTCGCCATCGCGCACCGGCTGTCCACCATCCAAGGCTGCGACGTCATCCTCGTCAACGCCGATGGCCGCGTGGTGGAGAAAGGGAACCACGCGGAGCTGATGGCCCTGAAGGGAGTCTACTACAAGCTTCAGATGCAGGCGCAGAAGTGAGCGCCGACGTGCACCAACGTGCACCAAGCCAATACCAAGTACAGTGCAACATTGCCTTGAGGTTGTTCATTCCGCCAACTGCCAAGCAGTTGGAAACATCAAACATTTGGCTTCGCCCTTTTTTTGCGTTAGCCCCGCCCGCTTCTCTTAAGAGCAAGGTGTTTCCCCAGCACTCGAAACGAGAACTGAGATTCCTATCCGTAGGCGACACGCTTGCTTCTGAGAAGTGCAGTGTTAGTCCGTTTGTCCAGCGTGCAATACGCGTTTTGCTTTATTTCTGCTGCGGTGTTTCTGCACACCTGGACGGATAGTCCTGGGTGGCAAAAACGCTCTCAGCACTCTTGACAAAGAGCTCCCCACCCGTCTCCGCACGTGCTTTCAGGGCCCGCCGGCCATGCCATACGGATTGTAGGCATGCAGGGGGCGAAGGACCGAAGGCCTCTGCGTGGGGATTTTGGCAGCTCCGGAGCATGTTTGCGTTGTGTTTTGGGCGCGCGAGTTGCCTATGTGAGCATATGTGCTTGTTGGGGGCGGTTGCTCCGGAGCTTCCTGGTGGTACAGAGTTGATCAGTTGATCCATGTACAGGCGGATCTTTGTTCGGGAGGTCCACTCCTTAGCCCTCGAACCTGCAGGGCCTTCGTTTGGGAAGGCCACCAACAGCTGAGACTTGCGGCCGAAGGCTGCGTTTCTGGCTCCTTCCATGGCTTGTCCAAAAAAGGGTCGTGTGCTCCGCTTGCTTCAGTGCGATCTGTGGAGCCCAGTTGTGCTGGCCTGACTGCGGCCTGACATGTTGGGCAGGCGGGAAGATGCGAGAAGCCTTCCAGGGGTGTCGGTGTTTGTAGGGGCGTCTCGTGTTTTTGTTTTTGTTGTTGGGCGTGGGTGTTGCTGAATCAAGGTTACCGGCTCAGCTTGGTGCCCAAGCTCGCTTCGAACGCCCTTGGGACCTTAGGACCTTAGGAAAGTTTTAGGGCCCAGGATGGCAAGCAATGCGGAGGTGCCGGAGGATGCCGACGACGAGATCGTTCAGGTGGAAGCCAAGACCGAGGAGCTGAAGCCGACGAAGGCCAAGATCAAGCCCGCCTCCGTTTGCAAGCTCTTTTCCATGATGGACTGTCTCGAGGTGGTGGTGTTGCTGACCGGCTGTGTTGGAGCCATTGGCAATGGCTTGTCGCAGCCATTGCTGTGCATCGTCTTCGGCGACCTCATTGATGGCATGGGTGCTGCTACGGGTGGCACGGCCTCCTTCACCAGCGAGCAGATGCTGGCCGCCATGGACGGCATGATGTCGCAGATGGAGGAGCTCTGCATCACCATGGTGCTCGTGGGCGTGGGCGCCACCTTCGCCGCCTCCCTTCAGGGAGCCTGCTTCAAGATCTTTGCGGAGAAGCAGGCCTTCAAGTTCCGGGTCCTCTACTTCGACACGGTGCTCCACCAGGACGTGAGCTGGTTCGACACGAAGGAGGTTGCCGCACTGCCGGCCGAGATCAACGACGACCTGGAGAAGATCCAAGACGCCTTCGGCGACAAGTTCGGGAACGGCGTGATGGCCCTCTCTGCGTTCCTGGGCGGCTTCGGCTGTGCATTCGGCCTCGGCTGGCTCATCGCACTGGTGATGTGCTCCATCCTGCCCTTCATGGGTGTTGGTGCCGCCATCATGGGAAAGGCGGTCCAGGAGATTCAGAACGAGTCGCAGAGCTGGTACGCCAAGGCCTCGGCGGTCGTCGAGGAGTGCCTCAACGCCATGCGCACCGTCGTGGCCTTCGGTGGAGAGCACCGCGAGCTGAAGAAGTTCTCGGCCGCCCTGGTCGAGACGCGACGCGGCGGGGTGCGGAACGGCTTCAAGGTCGGCGCTGGCATGGGCTACACCATGATGATCGTGTTCTTGGGATATGGCCTGGCCTTCTGGTTCGGCATGACACTGCGATACAACGACGAGCTGAACCCAGCTACCGGAGAGCTCTGGGAGCCCGGCACGATTATGGCCATCTTCTTCTGCATCTTCATCGGCAGCTTCATGATCGGCAACCTCGACCCGAGCATCAAGGCCATGAAGGCCGCGCAGACGGCGGCGGGGCGCTTCTTCCTGGCTTTGGAGAACAAGCCCAACATCCAGTGCCGCCTGGAGGACAAGCGCGAGGACATCAGCAACATCGACAGCTTTGAATTCCAGGATGTGCACTTCACCTACCCGGCACGGCCTGATGTCAAGGTCCTGAACGGCCTGTCCCTGACCATCAAGAGGGGTCAGAAAGTGGCAGTGGTCGGCGAGTCGGGATCAGGAAAGTCCACCGTCATGGCTCTTCTCGAGCGCTTCTACGACCCGGACTCCGGGCAGGTGTTGGTGAACGGCCGGAACATGACGAGCTTCAAGACGTCGGCCTTGCGACAGTGCGTTGGCTACGTGGGCCAGGAGCCGGTGCTCTTTGCCAGCTCGATCCGCCACAACATCATGCAGGGCAACCCATCAGCCAGTAAGGAGGACCTCGCCAAGGCCTGCGCGGACGCCCAGCTGGGCTTTGTGGATGGGCTGCCGGAAAAGTACAACACTTTCGTCGGCAGCGGCGGCGGCCAGCTGTCTGGGGGTCAGAAACAGCGCATCGCCATTGCCAGGGCCCTGCTGAAGAAGTCTTCCTTCCTCTTCCTGGACGAGGCCACCAGTGCTTTGGACAACGCATCAGAGAAGATGATCCAGGCCACGATCGACAGCATCAGCGCAAATACCACCGAAGGCCTGGGGATTGTAAGCATTGCCCACCGCCTCAGCACTGTGCGCAACTCTGATCTCATTTACGTGCTCAGCCGCGGCACGTTGGTGGAGCAGGGCAACCATGCCTCGCTCATGGAGAAGAAGGGCACTTACTATGCCCTGGTCGCGGCCCAGGAGTCGTCTCACAAGGCGGACGATGAGGACACCAACGCGCCCGGCTTGCCCCACGACAACACCGTGGCGATGGTGAAGCGCTCCTCGACAAACTCCGGAGAGTCAGAGACCCAGCGTGTGAAGAAGGAGAAGGAGGCGGAAGCCAATCGAGAAAAGGACATCGTCAAGAATTACAAGGTGCCGATGAGGCGACTCCTCAGCTACAACAGGCCAGAGTGGCCTTTCTTTGTGCCCGCTGTGCTTGGTGCGATGGTGGACGGATCTGCAATGCCCGTTTGCACGATCGCCCTCGTCGGGTCCATGGACGGCTTCTACAAGCCATACAAAGAGGAGATGCGGTCTGACTTGGAACTCATGGCACTCATCTTTGTGATTATTGGCGTGAGTACCCTCGTTGGGTCGACCATCTCGCATGGCTGCTTCTCAATTCTCGGTGAGGCCATGACGCAGCGTCTCCGTGTGGCTATCTTGACGGGCATGTTCCGTCAGGAGGTGGGATTCCATGATGATCCAGCCAACACACCAGGAATGCTTTCGAAGGCCCTGGAGCTTTGGGCATTCCGCGTCTCCACGCTGTGCAAGTCCGTGCAGGCTAAGGCAGCGGCCATGAGTTCGTTGGTTGTGGGTCTCGTGATCGCCTTCGTCTACTGCTGGCAGATGTCGCTCGTCATGCTGGGCTCCATCCCAATCATGATTGCGGCCCAGGCCATCCAGATGCTGGTGCTCCTCGGTGCCTCGAAAACGGAGAATGAGAACATCACCAACGCCAACCAGATCGTCGTCGACTCCGTGATGAACGCTCGCACAGTGCAGGCGTTGGGTGTGGAGAAGGGCTTGGTGGGCATGTATGTTGGTTGGGTTGAGAAGTCCCTGGTCGGCATGTGGAGGCGCAACATTTTGGCAGGACTTGGCTTCGGAGTCTCCAACGGCATCATGTTCTTCATCATGGCCGGTGGCTTCTACGTCGCGTCTCTGCTGATCAAGGAAGGCGTCGCCGACTTCCAGGGCGTGATGATGGCCTTCATGGGCATCTTCTACGCAGGCGCTCGCAGGGGGGGGGGGGGGCTCGCCAGGGGGCTTCGACGCTCGTCTAGGAGTAGAGCTGCATGCCCAGCCTTATATCGGCTAGGAAGTAGAGCCTGCGTTAGAGCCTGCGTGCGTCGTGCGTAGCGCTATAAGACGTCGACGTCGAGCCGTCCTTCTCTCTGTAATCAAGCCTAGACGTCAGCTTCTCCGTGTCATCCCGCTCGTCGCTTCTTTTCCTCCATGCGTTTCCGCGAGGCATGGGAGCTGGCCAGGCCGCCGTGATGGTGGGCGACGCCACGAAGGCCAAGGTGGCGTGCCACGACATGTTCCAGCTCATGGACCGTATCTCGGCCATCGACGGCTTGGAGCCCAAGGGCGAGTCTCCCCAGGGGCTGCAGGCTGGCCACATTGAGTTCCGGGACGTGAAGTTCTTCTACCCCTTCCGTCCGGAGGTCCAGGTGCTCAAGGGCATCTCCTTCAGCATCTCCGCAGGGCAGTCGGTGGGTCTGGTCGGTCCCTCCGGCGGCGGCAAGAGCACCGTGATGTCCTTGATCCAGCGCTTCTACGATCCCCAGAACGGCCAGGTCTTCGTGGGTTCCGAGCGCGTCGCGCTGAACACCGTGAACATCCGGTGGTGGCGCCGCCAGATTGGCTTCGTGGGCCAGGAGCCCATCCTCTTCAACACCACCGTGCGTGCCAACATCATGTACGGCCTGGATGATGGCGAGACCGTCACCGACGAGTATGTCAAGCAGTGTGAGAAGATGGCGAACTTGGCTTTCTTGTACAAGAATGGCAATAAGGGCCTAGAGACGGAGGTCGGCCCCAGGGGTAGCCGCCTCTCTGGCGGCCAGAAGCAGCGGGTGGCCATCTGCAGGGCACTGATCCGCAATCCACCGGTGATGCTGCTGGATGAGGCCACCAGCGCGCTGGACACGCAGAGCGAGGCGATCGTGCAGAAGGCCCTGGAGGCCGCGCGGGAGGGCCGCACCTCCTTCGCCATTGCGCACCGGCTGTCCACCATCCAAGGCTGCGACGTCATCCTCGTCAACGCCGATGGCCGCGTGGTGGAGAAAGGGAACCACGCGGAGCTGATGGCCCTGAAGGGAGTCTACTACAAGCTTCAGATGCAGGCGCAGAAGTGAGCGCCGACGTGCACCAACGTGCACCAAGCGATGGCAAGTGCAGTGCATCATTGCCTTGAGGTTGTTCATTCCGCCAACTGCCAAGCAGTTGGACACATCAAACATCTGGCTTCGCCCTTTTTTTTGCGTTAGCCTCCCCCCCCCCCCGCTTCTCTTAAGAGCAAGGTGCCCCCAACACTCGAAACGAGAACTGAGATTCCTATCCGTAGGCGACACGCTTGCTTCTGAGAAGTGCAGTGTTAGTCCGTTTGTCCAGCGTGCAATACGCGTTTTGCTTTATTTCTGCTGCGGTGTTTCTGCACACCTGGACGGATAGTCCTGGGTGGCAAAAACGCTCTCAGCACTCTTAACAAAGAGCACCTCACCGGTCTCCGCGCACGCTTTCAGGGCCCGCCGGCCATGCCATACGGATTGTAGGCATGCAGGGGGCGAAGGACCGAAGGCCTCTGCGTGGGGATTTTGGCAGCTCCGGAGCGTGTTTGCGTTGTGTTTTGGGCGCGCGAGTTGCCTATGTGAGCATATGTGCTTGTTGGGGGCGGTTGCTCCGGAGCTTCCTGGTGGTACAGAGTTGATCAGTTGATCCATGTACAGGCGGATCTTTGTTCGGGAGGTCCACTCCTTAGCCCTCGAACCTGCAGGGCCTTCGTTTGGGAAGGCCACCAACAGCTGAGACTTGCGGCCGAAGGCTGCGTTTCTGGCTCCTTCCATGGCTTGTCCAAAAAAGGGTCGTGTGCTCCGCTTGCTTCAGTGCGATCTGTGGAGCCCAGTTGTGCTGGCCTGACTGCGGCCTGACATGTTGGGCAGGCGGGAAGATGCGAGAAGCCTTCCAGGGGTGTCGGTGTTTGTAGGGGCGTCTCGTGTTTTTGTTTTTGTTGTTGGGCGTGGGTGTTGCTGAATCAAGGTTACCGGCTCAGCTTGGTGCCCAAGCTCGCTTCGAACGCCCTTGGGACCTTAGGACCTTAGGAAAGTTTTAGGGCCCAGGATGGCAAGCAATGCGGAGGTGCCGGAGGATGCCGACGACGAGATCGTTCAGGTGGAAGCCAAGACCGAGGAGCTGAAGCCGACGAAGGCCAAGATCAAGCCCGCCTCCGTTTGCAAGCTCTTTTCCATGATGGACTGTCTCGAGGTGGTGGTGTTGCTGACCGGCTGTGTTGGAGCCATTGGCAATGGCTTGTCGCAGCCATTGCTGTGCATCGTCTTCGGCGACCTCATTGATGGCATGGGTGCTGCTACGGGTGGCACGGCCTCCTTCACCAGCGAGCAGATGCTGGCCGCCATGGACGGCATGATGTCGCAGATGGAGGAGCTCTGCATCACCATGGTGCTCGTGGGCGTGGGCGCCACCTTCGCCGCCTCCCTTCAGGGAGCCTGCTTCAAGATCTTTGCGGAGAAGCAGGCCTTCAAGTTCCGGGTCCTCTACTTCGACACGGTGCTCCACCAGGACGTGAGCTGGTTCGACACGAAGGAGGTTGCCGCACTGCCGGCCGAGATCAACGACGACCTGGAGAAGATCCAAGACGCCTTCGGCGACAAGTTCGGGAACGGCGTGATGGCCCTCTCTGCGTTCCTGGGCGGCTTCGGCTGTGCATTCGGCCTCGGCTGGCTCATCGCACTGGTGATGTGCTCCATCCTGCCCTTCATGGGTGTTGGTGCCGCCATCATGGGAAAGGCGGTCCAGGAGATTCAGAACGAGTCGCAGAGCTGGTACGCCAAGGCCTCGGCGGTCGTCGAGGAGTGCCTCAACGCCATGCGCACCGTCGTGGCCTTCGGTGGAGAGCACCGCGAGCTGAAGAAGTTCTCGGCCGCCCTGGTCGAGACGCGACGCGGCGGGGTGCGGAACGGCTTCAAGGTCGGCGCTGGCATGGGCTACACCATGATGATCGTGTTCTTGGGATATGGCCTGGCCTTCTGGTTCGGCATGACACTGCGATACAACGACGAGCTGAACCCAGCTACCGGAGAGCTCTGGGAGCCCGGCACGATTATGGCCATCTTCTTCTGCATCTTCATCGGCAGCTTCATGATCGGCAACCTCGACCCGAGCATCAAGGCCATGAAGGCCGCGCAGACGGCGGCGGGGCGCTTCTTCCTGGCTTTGGAGAACAAGCCCAACATCCAGTGCCGCCTGGAGGACAAGCGCGAGGACATCAGCAACATCGACAGCTTTGAATTCCAGGATGTGCACTTCACCTACCCGGCACGGCCTGATGTCAAGGTCCTGAACGGCCTGTCCCTGACCATCAAGAGGGGTCAGAAAGTGGCAGTGGTCGGCGAGTCGGGATCAGGGAAGTCCACCGTCATGGCTCTTCTCGAGCGCTTCTACGACCCGGACTCCGGGCAGGTGTTGGTGAACGGCCGGAACATGACGAGCTTCAAGACGTCGGCCTTGCGACAGTGCGTTGGCTACGTGGGCCAGGAGCCGGTGCTCTTTGCCAGCTCGATCCGCCACAACATCATGCAGGGCAACCCATCAGCCAGTAAGGAGGACTTCGCCAAGGCCTGCGCGGACGCCCAGCTGGGCTTTGTGGACGGGCTGCCGGAAAAGTACAACACTTTCGTCGGCAGCGGCGGCGGCCAGCTGTCTGGGGGTCAGAAACAGCGCATCGCCATTGCCAGGGCCCTGCTGAAGAAGTCTTCCTTCCTCTTCCTGGACGAGGCCACCAGTGCTTTGGACAACGCATCAGAGAAGATGATCCAGGCCACGATCGACAGCATCAGCGCAAATACCACCGAAGGCCTGGGGATTGTAAGCATTGCCCACCGCCTCAGCACTGTGCGCAACTCTGATCTCATTTACGTGCTCAGCCGCGGCACGTTGGTGGAGCAGGGCAACCATGCCTCGCTCATGGAGAAGAAGGGCACTTACTATGCCCTGGTCGCGGCCCAGGAGTCGTCTCACAAGGCGGACGATGAGGACACCAACGCGCCCGGCTTGCCCCACGACAACACCGTGGCGATGGTGAAGCGCTCCTCGACAAACTCCGGAGAGTCAGAGACCCAGCGTGTGAAGAAGGAGAAGGAGGCGGAAGCCAATCGAGAAAAGGACATCGTCAAGAATTACAAGGTGCCGATGAGGCGACTCCTCAGCTACAACAGGCCAGAGTGGCCTTTCTTTGTGCCCGCTGTGCTTGGTGCGATGGTGGACGGATCTGCAATGCCCGTTTGCACGATCGCCCTCGTCGGGTCCATGGACGGCTTCTACAAGCCAGACAAAGAGGAGATGCGGTCTGACTTGGAACTCATGGCACTCATCTTTGTGATTATTGGCGTGAGTACCCTCGTTGGGTCGACCATCTCGCATGGCTGCTTCTCAATTCTCGGTGAGGCCATGACGCAGCGTCTCCGTGTGGCTATCTTGACGGGCATGTTCCGTCAGGAGGTGGGATTCCATGATGATCCAGCCAACACACCAGGAATGCTTTCGAAGGCCCTGGAGCTTTGGGCATTCCGCGTCTCCACGCTGTGCAAGTCCGTGCAGGCTAAGGCAGCGGCCATGAGTTCGTTGGTTGTGGGTCTCGTGATCGCCTTCGTCTACTGCTGGCAGATGTCGCTCGTCATGCTGGGCTCCATCCCAATCATGATTGCGGCCCAGGCCATCCAGATGCTGGTGCTCCTCGGTGCCTCGAAAACGGAGAATGAGAACATCACCAACGCCAACCAGATCGTCGTCGACTCCGTGATGAACGCTCGCACAGTGCAGGCGTTGGGTGTGGAGAAGGGATTGGTGGGCATGTATGTTGGTTGGGTTGAGAAGTCCCTGGTCGGCATGTGGAGGCGCAACATTTTGGCAGGACTCGGCTTCGGAGTCTCCAACGGCATCATGTTCTTCATCATGGCCGGTGGCTTCTACGTCGCGTCTCTGCTGATCAAGGAAGGCGTCGCCGACTTCCAGGGCGTGATGATGGCCTTCATGGGCATCTTCTACGCAGGCGCTCGCAGGGGGGGGGGGGGCTCGCAAGGGGGCTTCGACGCTCGTCTAGGAGTAGAGCTGCATGCCCAGCCTTATATCGGCTAGGAAGTAGAGCCTGCGTTAGAGCCTGCGTGCGTCGTGCGTAGCGCTATAAGACGTCGACGTCGAGCCGTCCTTCTCTCTGTAATCAAGCCTAGACGTCAGCTTCTCCGTGTCATCCCGCTCGTCGCTTCTTTTCCTCCATGCGTTTCCGCGAGGCATGGGAGCTGGCCAGGCCGCCGTGATGGTGGGCGACGCCACGAAGGCCAAGGTGGCGTGCCACGACATGTTCCAGCTCATGGACCGTATCTCGGCCATCGACGGCTTGGAGCCCAAGGGCGAGTCTCCCCAGGGGCTGCAGGCTGGCCACATTGAGTTCCGGGACGTGAAGTTCTTCTACCCCTTCCGTCCGGAGGTCCAGGTGCTCAAGGGCATCTCCTTCAGCATCTCCGCAGGGCAGTCGGTGGGTCTGGTCGGTCCCTCCGGCGGCGGCAAGAGCACCGTGATGTCCTTGATCCAGCGCTTCTACGATCCCCAGAACGGCCAGGTCTTCGTGGGTTCCGAGCGCGTCGCGCTGAACACCGTGAACATCCGGTGGTGGCGCCGCCAGATTGGCTTCGTGGGCCAGGAGCCCATCCTCTTCAACACCACCGTGCGTGCCAACATCATGTACGGCCTGGATGATGGCGAGACCGTCACCGACGAGTATGTCAAGCAGTGTGAGAAGATGGCAAACTTGGCTTTCTTGTACAAGAATGGCAATAAGGGCCTAGAGACGGAGGTCGGCCCCAGGGGTAGCCGCCTCTCTGGCGGCCAGAAGCAGCGGGTGGCCATCTGCAGGGCACTTATCCGCAATCCACCGGTGATGCTGCTGGATGAGGCCACCAGCGCGCTGGACACGCAGAGCGAGGCGATTGTGCAGAAGGCCCTGGAGGCCGCGCGGGAGGGCCGCACCTCCTTCGCCATCGCGCACCGGCTGTCCACCATCCAAGGCTGCGACGTCATCCTCGTCAACGCCGATGGCCGCGTGGTGGAGAAAGGGAACCACGCGGAGCTGATGGCCCTGAAGGGAGTCTACTACAAGCTTCAGATGCAGGCGCAGAAGTGAGCGCCGACGTGCACCAACGTGCACCAAGCGATGGCAAGTGCAGTGCATCATTGCCTTGAGGTTGTTCATTCCGCCAACTGCCAAGCAGTTGGACACATCAAACATCTGGCTTCGCCCTTTTTTTTGCGTTAGCCTCCCCCCCCCCCCGCTTCTCTTAAGAGCAAGGTGCCCCCAACACTCGAAACGAGAACTGAGATTCCTATCCGTAGGCGACACGCTTGCTTCTGAGAAGTGCAGTGTTAGTCCGTTTGTCCAGCGTGCAATACGCGTTTTGCTTTATTTCTGCTGCGGTGTTTCTGCACACCTGGACGGATAGTCCTGGGTGGCAAAAACGCTCTCAGCACTCTTAACAAAGAGCACCTCACCGGTCTCCGCGCACGCTTTCAGGGCCCGCCGGCCATGCCATACGGATTGTAGGCATGCAGGGGGCGAAGGACCGAAGGCCTCTGCGTGGGGATTTTGGCAGCTCCGGAGCGTGTTTGCGTTGTGTTTTGGGCGCGCGAGTTGCCTATGTGAGCATATGTGCTTGTTGGGGGCGGTTGCTCCGGAGCTTCCTGGTGGTACAGAGTTGATCAGTTGATCCATGTACAGGCGGATCTTTGTTCGGGAGGTCCACTCCTTAGCCCTCGAACCTGCAGGGCCTTCGTTTGGGAAGGCCACCAACAGCTGAGACTTGCGGCCGAAGGCTGCGTTTCTGGCTCCTTCCATGGCTTGTCCAAAAAAGGGTCGTGTGCTCCGCTTGCTTCAGTGCGATCTGTGGAGCCCAGTTGTGCTGGCCTGACTGCGGCCTGACATGTTGGGCAGGCGGGAAGATGCGAGAAGCCTTCCAGGGGTGTCGGTGTTTGTAGGGGCGTCTCGTGTTTTTGTTTTTGTTGTTGGGCGTGGGTGTTGCTGAATCAAGGTTACCGGCTCAGCTTGGTGCCCAAGCTCGCTTCGAACGCCCTTGGGACCTTAGGACCTTAGGAAAGTTTTAGGGCCCAGGATGGCAAGCAATGCGGAGGTGCCGGAGGATGCCGACGACGAGATCGTTCAGGTGGAAGCCAAGACCGAGGAGCTGAAGCCGACGAAGGCCAAGATCAAGCCCGCCTCCGTTTGCAAGCTCTTTTCCATGATGGACTGTCTCGAGGTGGTGGTGTTGCTGACCGGCTGTGTTGGAGCCATTGGCAATGGCTTGTCGCAGCCATTGCTGTGCATCGTCTTCGGCGACCTCATTGATGGCATGGGTGCTGCTACGGGTGGCACGGCCTCCTTCACCAGCGAGCAGATGCTGGCCGCCATGGACGGCATGATGTCGCAGATGGAGGAGCTCTGCATCACCATGGTGCTCGTGGGCGTGGGCGCCACCTTCGCCGCCTCCCTTCAGGGAGCCTGCTTCAAGATCTTTGCGGAGAAGCAGGCCTTCAAGTTCCGGGTCCTCTACTTCGACACGGTGCTCCACCAGGACGTGAGCTGGTTCGACACGAAGGAGGTTGCCGCACTGCCGGCCGAGATCAACGACGACCTGGAGAAGATCCAAGACGCCTTCGGCGACAAGTTCGGGAACGGCGTGATGGCCCTCTCTGCGTTCCTGGGCGGCTTCGGCTGTGCATTCGGCCTCGGCTGGCTCATCGCACTGGTGATGTGCTCCATCCTGCCCTTCATGGGTGTTGGTGCCGCCATCATGGGAAAGGCGGTCCAGGAGATTCAGAACGAGTCGCAGAGCTGGTACGCCAAGGCCTCGGCGGTCGTCGAGGAGTGCCTCAACGCCATGCGCACCGTCGTGGCCTTCGGTGGGGAGCACCGCGAGCTGAAGAAGTTCTCGGCCGCCCTGGTCGAGACGCGACGCGGCGGGGTGCGGAACGGCTTCAAGGTCGGCGCTGGCATGGGCTACACCATGATGATCGTGTTCTTGGGATATGGCCTGGCCTTCTGGTTCGGCATGACACTGCGATACAACGACGAGCTGAACCCAGCTACCGGAGAGCTCTGGGAGCCCGGCACGATTATGGCCATCTTCTTCTGCATCTTCATCGGCAGCTTCATGATCGGCAACCTCGACCCGAGCATCAAGGCCATGAAGGCCGCGCAGACGGCGGCGGGGCGCTTCTTCCTGGCTTTGGAGAACAAGCCCAACATCCAGTGCCGCCTGGAGGACAAGCGCGAGGACATCAGCAACATCGACAGCTTTGAATTCCAGGATGTGCACTTCACCTACCCGGCACGGCCTGATGTCAAGGTCCTGAACGGCCTGTCCCTGACCATCAAGAGGGGTCAGAAAGTGGCAGTGGTCGGCGAGTCGGGATCAGGAAGTCCACCGTCATGGCTCTTCTCGAGCGCTTCTACGACCCGGACTCCGGGCAGGTGTTGGTGAACGGCCGGAACATGACGAGCTTCAAGACGTCGGCCTTGCGACAGTGCGTTGGCTACGTGGGCCAGGAGCCGGTGCTCTTTGCCAGCTCGATCCGCCACAACATCATGCAGGGCAACCCATCAGCCAGTAAGGAGGACTTCGCCAAGGCCTGCGCGGACGCCCAGCTGGGCTTTGTGGATGGGCTGCCGGAAAAGTACAACACTTTCGTCGGCAGCGGCGGCGGCCAGCTGTCTGGGGGTCAGAAACAGCGCATCGCCATTGCCAGGGCCCTGCTGAAGAAGTCTTCCTTCCTCTTCCTGGACGAGGCCACCAGTGCTTTGGACAACGCATCAGAGAAGATGATCCAGGCCACGATCGACAGCATCAGCGCAAATACCACCGAAGGCCTGGGGATTGTAAGCATTGCCCACCGCCTCAGCACTGTGCGCAACTCTGATCTCATTTACGTGCTCAGCCGCGGCACGTTGGTGGAGCAGGGCAACCATGCCTCGCTCATGGAGAAGAAGGGCACTTACTATGCCCTGGTCGCGGCACAGGAGTCGTCTCACAAGGCGGACGATGAGGACACCAACGCGCCCGGCTTGCCCCACGACAACACCGTGGCGATGGTGAAGCGCTCCTCGACAAACTCCGGAGAGTCAGAGACCCAGCGTGTGAAGAAGGAGAAGGAGGCGGAAGCCAATCGAGAAAAGGACATCGTCAAGAATTACAAGGTGCCGATGAGGCGACTCCTCAGCTACAACAGGCCAGAGTGGCCTTTCTTTGTGCCCGCTGTGCTTGGTGCGATGGTGGACGGATCTGCAATGCCCGTTTGCACGATCGCCCTCGTCGGGTCCATGGACGGCTTCTACAAGCCAGACAAAGAGGAGATGCGGTCTGACTTGGAACTCATGGCACTCATCTTTGTGATTATTGGCGTGAGTACCCTCGTTGGGTCGACCATCTCGCATGGCTGCTTCTCAATTCTCGGTGAGGCCATGACGCAGCGTCTCCGTGTGGCTATCTTGACGGGCATGTTCCGTCAGGAGGTGGGATTCCATGATGATCCAGCCAACACACCAGGAATGCTTTCGAAGGCCCTGGAGCTTTGGGCATTCCGCGTCTCCACGCTGTGCAAGTCCGTGCAGGCTAAGGCAGCGGCCATGAGTTCGTTGGTTGTGGGTCTCGTGATCGCCTTCGTCTACTGCTGGCAGATGTCGCTCGTCATGCTGGGCTCCATCCCAATCATGATTGCGGCCCAGGCCATCCAGATGCTGGTGCTCCTCGGTGCCTCGAAAACGGAGAATGAGAACATCACCAACGCCAACCAGATCGTCGTCGACTCCGTGATGAACGCTCGCACAGTGCAGGCGTTGGGTGTGGAGAAGGGCTTGGTGGGCATGTATGTTGGTTGGGTTGAGAAGTCCCTGGTCGGCATGTGGAGGCGCAACATTTTGGCAGGACTTGGCTTCGGAGTCTCCAACGGCATCATGTTCTTCATCATGGCCGGTGGCTTCTACGTCGCGTCTCTGCTGATCAAGGAAGGCGTCGCCGACTTCCAGGGCGTGATGATGGCCTTCATGGGCATCTTCTACGCAGGCGCTCGCAGGGAGGGGGTGGGGAGGCTCGCAAGGGGCTTCGACGCTCGTCTAGGAGTAGAGCTGTATGTTCAGCCTTATATCGGCTAGGAAGTAGAGCCTGCGTTAGAGCCTGCGTGCGTCGTGCGTAGCGCTATAAGGGGCCCCCACAGACGTCGACGTCGAGCCATCCTTCTCTCTGTAATCAAGCCTAGACGTCAGCTTCTCCGTGTCATCCCGCTCGTCGCTTCTTTTCCTCCATGCGTTTCCGCGAGGCATGGGAGCTGGCCAGGCCGCCGTGATGGTGGGCGACGCCACGAAGGCCAAGGTGGCGTGCCACGACATGTTCCAGCTCATGGACCGTATCTCGGCCATCGATGGCTTGGAGCCCAAGGGCGAGTCTCCCCAGGGGCTGCAGGCTGGCCACATTGAGTTCCGGGACGTGAAGTTCTTCTACCCCTTCCGTCCGGAGGTCCAGGTGCTCAAGGGCATCTCCTTCAGCATCTCCGCAGGGCAGTCGGTGGGTCTGGTCGGTCCCTCCGGCGGCGGCAAGAGCACCGTGATGTCCTTGATCCAGCGCTTCTACGATCCCCAGAACGGCCAGGTCTTCGTGGGTTCCGAGCGCGTCGCGCTGAACACCGTGAACATCCGGTGGTGGCGCCGCCAGATTGGCTTCGTGGGCCAGGAGCCCATCCTCTTCAACACCACCGTGCGTGCCAACATCATGTACGGCCTGGATGATGGCGAGACCGTCACCGACGAGTATGTCAAGCAGTGTGAGAAGATGGCGAACTTGGCTTTCTTGTACAAGAATGGCAATAAGGGCCTAGAGACGGAGGTCGGCCCCAGGGGTAGCCGCCTCTCTGGCGGCCAGAAGCAGCGGGTGGCCATCTGCAGGGCACTGATCCGCAATCCACCGGTGATGCTGCTGGATGAGGCCACCAGCGCGCTGGACACGCAGAGCGAGGCGATCGTGCAGAAGGCCCTGGAGGCCGCGCGGGAGGGCCGCACCTCCTTCGCCATCGCGCACCGGCTGTCCACCATCCAAGGCTGCGACGTCATCCTCGTCAACGCCGATGGCCGCGTGGTGGAGAAAGGGAACCACGCGGAGCTGATGGCCCTGAAGGGAGTCTACTACAAGCTTCAGATGCAGGCGCAGAAGTGAGCGCCGACGTGCACCATCGTGCACCAACGTGCACCAAGCCAATACCAAGTACAGTGCAACATTGCCTTGAGGTTGTTCATTCCGCCAACTGCCAAGCAGTTGGAAACATCAAACATTTGGCTTCGCCCTTTTTTTGCGTTAGCCCCCCCCGCTTCTCTTAAGAGCAAGGTGCCCCCCAGCACTCGAAACGAGAACTGAGATTCCTGTCCGTGCTGTAGGCGACACGCTTGCTTCTGAGAAGTGCAGTGTTAGTCGGTTAGTCCGTTTGTCCAGCGTGCAATACGCTTTTTGCTTTGTTTCTGCTGCGGTGTTTCTGAACACCTGGACGGATTGTCCTGGGTGGCAAAAACGCTCTCAGCACTCTTGACAAAGAGCTCCCCACCCGTCTCCGCACGTGCTTTCAGGGCCCGCCGGCCATGCCATACGGATTGTAGGCATGCAGGGGGCGAAGGACCGAAGGCCTCTGCGTGGGGATTTTGGCAGCTCCGGAGCGTGTTTGCGTTGTGTTTTGGGCGCGCGAGTTGCCTATGTGAGCATATGTGCTTGTTGGGGGCGGTTGCTCCGGAGCTTCCTGGTGGTACAGAGTTGATCAGTTGATCCATGTACAGGCGGATCTTTGTTCGGGAGGTCCACTCCTTAGCCCTCGAACCTGCAGGGCCTTCGTTTGGGAAGGCCACCAACAGCTGAGACTTGCGGCCGAAGGCTGCGTTTCTGGCTCCTTCCATGGCTTGTCCAAAAAAGGGTCGTGTGCTCCGCTTGCTTCAGTGCGATCTGTGGAGCCCAGTTGTGCTGGCCTGACTGCGGCCTGACATGTTGGGCAGGCGGGAAGATGCGAGAAGCCTTCCAGGGGTGTCGGTGTTTGTAGGGGCGTCTCGTGTTTTTGTTTTTGTTGTTGGGCGTGGGTGTTGCTGAATCAAGGTTACCGGCTCAGCTTGGTGCCCAAGCTCGCTTCGAACGCCCTTGGGACCTTAGGACCTTAGGAAAGTTTTAGGGCCCAGGATGGCAAGCAATGCGGAGGTGCCGGAGGATGCCGACGACGAGATCGTTCAGGTGGAAGCCAAGACCGAGGAGCTGAAGCCGACGAAGGCCAAGATCAAGCCCGCCTCCGTTTGCAAGCTCTTTTCCATGATGGACTGTCTCGAGGTGGTGGTGTTGCTGACCGGCTGTGTTGGAGCCATTGGCAATGGCTTGTCGCAGCCATTGCTGTGCATCGTCTTCGGCGACCTCATTGATGGCATGGGTGCTGCTACGGGTGGCACGGCCTCCTTCACCAGCGAGCAGATGCTGGCCGCCATGGACGGCATGATGTCGCAGATGGAGGAGCTCTGCATCACCATGGTGCTCGTGGGCGTGGGCGCCACCTTCGCCGCCTCCCTTCAGGGAGCCTGCTTCAAGATCTTTGCGGAGAAGCAGGCCTTCAAGTTCCGGGTCCTCTACTTCGACACGGTGCTCCACCAGGACGTGAGCTGGTTCGACACGAAGGAGGTTGCCGCACTGCCGGCCGAGATCAACGACGACCTGGAGAAGATCCAAGACGCCTTCGGCGACAAGTTCGGGAACGGCGTGATGGCCCTCTCTGCGTTCCTGGGCGGCTTCGGCTGTGCATTCGGCCTCGGCTGGCTCATCGCACTGGTGATGTGCTCCATCCTGCCCTTCATGGGTGTTGGTGCCGCCATCATGGGAAAGGCGGTCCAGGAGATTCAGAACGAGTCGCAGAGCTGGTACGCCAAGGCCTCGGCGGTCGTCGAGGAGTGCCTCAACGCCATGCGCACCGTCGTGGCCTTCGGTGGAGAGCACCGCGAGCTGAAGAAGTTCTCGGCCGCCCTGGTCGAGACGCGACGCGGCGGGGTGCGGAACGGCTTCAAGGTCGGCGCTGGCATGGGCTACACCATGATGATCGTGTTCTTGGGATATGGCCTGGCCTTCTGGTTCGGCATGACACTGCGATACAACGACGAGCTGAACCCAGCTACCGGAGAGCTCTGGGAGCCCGGCACGATTATGGCCATCTTCTTCTGCATCTTCATCGGCAGCTTCATGATCGGCAACCTCGACCCGAGCATCAAGGCCATGAAGGCCGCGCAGACGGCGGCGGGGCGCTTCTTCCTGGCTTTGGAGAACAAGCCCAACATCCAGTGCCGCCTGGAGGACAAGCGCGAGGACATCAGCAACATCGACAGCTTTGAATTCCAGGATGTGCACTTCACCTACCCGGCACGGCCTGATGTCAAGGTCCTGAACGGCCTGTCCCTGACCATCAAGAGGGGTCAGAAAGTGGCAGTGGTCGGCGAGTCGGGATCAGGGAAGTCCACCGTCATGGCTCTTCTCGAGCGCTTCTACGACCCGGACTCCGGGCAGGTGTTGGTGAACGGCCGGAACATGACGAGCTTCAAGACGTCGGCCTTGCGACAGTGCGTTGGCTACGTGGGCCAGGAGCCGGTGCTCTTTGCCAGCTCGATCCGCCACAACATCATGCAGGGCAACCCATCAGCCAGTAAGGAGGACTTCGCCAAGGCCTGCGCGGACGCCCAGCTGGGCTTTGTGGATGGGCTGCCGGAAAAGTACAACACTTTCGTCGGCAGCGGCGGCGGCCAGCTGTCTGGGGGTCAGAAACAGCGCATCGCCATTGCCAGGGCCCTGCTGAAGAAGTCTTCCTTCCTCTTCCTGGACGAGGCCACCAGTGCTTTGGACAACGCATCAGAGAAGATGATCCAGGCCACGATCGACAGCATCAGCGCAAATACCACCGAAGGCCTGGGGATTGTAAGCATTGCCCACCGCCTCAGCACTGTGCGCAACTCTGATCTCATTTACGTGCTCAGCCGCGGCACGTTGGTGGAGCAGGGCAACCATGCCTCGCTCATGGAGAAGAAGGGCACTTACTATGCCCTGGTCGCGGCCCAGGAGTCGTCTCACAAGGCGGACGATGAGGACACCAACGCGCCCGGCTTGCCCCACGACAACACCGTGGCGATGGTGAAGCGCTCCTCGACAAACTCCGGAGAGTCAGAGACCCAGCGTGTGAAGAAGGAGAAGGAGGCGGAAGCCAATCGAGAAAAGGACATCGTCAAGAATTACAAGGTGCCGATGAGGCGACTCCTCAGCTACAACAGGCCAGAGTGGCCTTTCTTTGTGCCCGCTGTGCTTGGTGCGATGGTGGACGGATCTGCAATGCCCGTTTGCACGATCGCCCTCGTCGGGTCCATGGACGGCTTCTACAAGCCAGACAAAGAGGAGATGCGGTCTGACTTGGAACTCATGGCACTCATCTTTGTGATTATTGGCGTGAGTACCCTCGTTGGGTCGACCATCTCGCATGGCTGCTTCTCAATTCTCGGTGAGGCCATGACGCAGCGTCTCCGTGTGGCTATCTTGACGGGCATGTTCCGTCAGGAGGTGGGATTCCATGATGATCCAGCCAACACACCAGGAATGCTTTCGAAGGCCCTGGAGCTTTGGGCATTCCGCGTCTCCACGCTGTGCAAGTCCGTGCAGGCTAAGGCAGCGGCCATGAGTTCGTTGGTTGTGGGTCTCGTGATCGCCTTCGTCTACTGCTGGCAGATGTCGCTCGTCATGCTGGGCTCCATCCCAATCATGATTGCGGCCCAGGCCATCCAGATGCTGGTGCTCCTCGGTGCCTCGAAAACGGAGAATGAGAACATCACCAACGCCAACCAGATCGTCGTCGACTCCGTGATGAACGCTCGCACAGTGCAGGCGTTGGGTGTGGAGAAGGGATTGGTGGGCATGTATGTTGGTTGGGTTGAGAAGTCCCTGGTCGGCATGTGGAGGCGCAACATTTTGGCAGGACTTGGCTTCGGAGTCTCCAACGGCATCATGTTCTTCATCATGGCCGGTGGCTTCTACGTCGCGTCTCTGCTGATCAAGGAAGGCGTCGCCGACTTCCAGGGCGTGATGATGGCCTTCATGGGCATCTTCTACGCAGGCGCTCGCAGGGGGGGGGGGGGGCTCGCAAGGGGGCTTCGACGCTCGTCTAGGAGTAGAGCTGCATGCCCAGCCTTATATCGGCTAGGAAGTAGAGCCTGCGTTAGAGCCTGCGTGCGTCGTGCGTAGCGCTATAAGACGTCGACGTCGAGCCGTCCTTCTCTCTGTAATCAAGCCTAGACGTCAGCTTCTCCGTGTCATCCCGCTCGTCGCTTCTTTTCCTCCATGCGTTTCCGCGAGGCATGGGAGCTGGCCAGGCCGCCGTGATGGTGGGCGACGCCACGAAGGCCAAGGTGGCGTGCCACGACATGTTCCAGCTCATGGACCGTATCTCGGCCATCGACGGCTTGGAGCCCAAGGGCGAGTCTCCCCAGGGGCTGCAGGCTGGCCACATTGAGTTCCGGGACGTGAAGTTCTTCTACCCCTTCCGTCCGGAGGTCCAGGTGCTCAAGGGCATCTCCTTCAGCATCTCCGCAGGGCAGTCGGTGGGTCTGGTCGGTCCCTCCGGCGGCGGCAAGAGCACCGTGATGTCCTTGATCCAGCGCTTCTACGATCCCCAGAACGGCCAGGTCTTCGTGGGTTCCGAGCGCGTCGCGCTGAACACCGTGAACATCCGGTGGTGGCGCCGCCAGATTGGCTTCGTGGGCCAGGAGCCCATCCTCTTCAACACCACCGTGCGTGCCAACATCATGTACGGCCTGGATGATGGCGAGACCGTCACCGACGAGTATGTCAAGCAGTGTGAGAAGATGGCGAACTTGGCTTTCTTGTACAAGAATGGCAATAAGGGCCTAGAGACGGAGGTCGGCCCCAGGGGTGGCCGCCTCTCTGGCGGCCAGAAGCAGCGGGTGGCCATCTGCAGGGCACTGATCCGCAATCCACCGGTGATGCTGCTGGATGAGGCCACCAGCGCGCTGGACACGCAGAGCGAGGCGATCGTGCAGAAGGCCCTGGAGGCCGCGCGGGAGGGCCGCACCTCCTTCGCCATTGCGCACCGGCTGTCCACCATCCAAGGCTGCGACGTCATCCTCGTCAACGCCGATGGCCGCGTGGTGGAGAAAGGGAACCACGCGGAGCTGATGGCCCTGAAGGGAGTCTACTACAAGCTTCAGATGCAGGCGCAGAAGTGAGCGCCGACGTGCACCATCGTGCACCAACGTGCACCAAGCCAATACCAAGTACAGTGCAACATTGCCTTGAGGTTGTTCATTCCGCCAACTGCCAAGCAGTTGGAAACATCAAACATTTGGCTTCGCCCTTTTTTTGCGTTAGCCCCGCCCGCTTCTCTTAAGAGCAAGGTGTTTCCCCAGCACTCGAAACGAGAACTGAGATTCCTATCCGTAGGCGACACGCTTGCTTCTGAGAAGTGCTGTGTTAGTCCGTTTGTCCAGCGTGCAATACGCTTTTTGCTTGATTTCCGCTGCGGTGTTTCTGGCACCTGGACGGATTGTCCTGGGTGGCAAAACGCTTGCAGCATTCTTGGCAAAGCACTCCTCACCGGTCGCCGCACGTGCCTTCTGGGCCCGCCGGCCATGCCATACGGATTGTAGGCATGCAGGGGGCGAAGGACCGAAGGCCCTTTGCGGTGCCGTGGAGTTGCCCAATTGTACAGGGCCTTCGTTTGGGAAGGCCACCCACAATCAGCGGGGTCGGGGTTCGGCTGGAGGCCGTGGTCTTGCTCTCCGCATACCTGACAAGGCAAGGCAAGCGCCAAAAAGGTCGTCAATCTCCCAAGGTGTTGGAAGGTTCTGCGAGATGTCTTGGCTAACGAAGACCCCTTGGACCGTACAGAGCTGCACCAGGCCCATTTGCAGCACCCCTGAAACCCTAAAACCCCTTGAAATTCAGCCTTGAAACTTGAAAGCCTCTAGAATCTCTCAAACCCTAAACCCTAAACCCTAAACCCTAAACCCTAAACCCTAAACCCTAAACCCTAAACCCTAAACCCTAAACTCTAAACCCTAAACCCTCTAGAATGCTCCTTGAAAAGGCGATGGAATCGAGCCATGTCCTGCCAGGCCGGGCCTCTGCTTCCTCGGACAAGAGGGGTTTAGGGTTTAGGGTTTAGGGTTTAGGGTTTAGGGTTTAGGGGTTAGGGGTTAGGGGTTAGGGGTTTAGGGTTCGGGGTTTCTGGTTTAGGCTTGGGATGTCCACCGTTATTCCAGCAGTCCTTGCTAGGGATTCTAGTACCCCCTGAGGGGGAACATCCCAAGTTAAGGGTTGCAGAAAGGGTTTTGGGGTTTCCCGACATTGTCCTCAGTCCGTGGTTCTAGGGTTTCGCGGCAACAGGACATGCCCGAAGGGGCAACGGAAGCAAGCACCTGAGTCTGTAGGGCTCAGGGCTTATTCTAGGGCTTATTCTGGGGCTTATTCTGGGGCTTATAATTATAGGCGTTGGGGGTACGGGCTTCCGGCTTGTTTCGTGCTTGTTTCAGGACCCCTCTACCTTCGCCATCGTGGTCTTGGAACCTGCCCGCAGTCCGAACAGCCCAACACCCTAAACCCGAAACTCTTTTGAACCTGGAAGCTGCTTCATGCCAGTTCAGGCCTGTTCAGGCCTGCACCCTCTTGAAACCAGTCGGTGCAAAAAAAGGCAGTGTGTCTGAGAGGGGTCAGCGAGGCAGGTGGCAACAAAACCCTACCCTGAGTTGCTCAGATACAGAGATTGCCGAGTAAGGGCTCCCAGAGGGGGCGTTGGAAAAGAAGTGTTGCGTCGACCTAGGGCATCCCAAAACCCGTGAATGCAGACCCCAAGGTTTGTCAACAGGGTTGCAGGGTTTAGGCTCTATCGGGTTCAGGGTTTAGGGTTAATTAGGGTTCGAAAAGGGGTTCAGGGTTGAGGGTGGGAAGCAAATGTGCCTTCTTTAACAGGTTTTGGCATTTTGCCAGTGAGTTTTTGAGGGTTTGGGGGTGATGCAGAGACGAGCTGAGGGTCCCAAACCGGCAGGATCACCACCCCCTGCACCATTCTTGCAACTCCCTTGTAGCTGCCTGCACCTTGTTACATTCAAAAACGACTTGTGATTTCAATGCTCGCCGCCTTGCAGCCTTGATACGCTTCTAAAACGATGACGCCTACAAGTGCTGCAGGGTTCTTCCGGAGAGTCAATGTTTGCAGTGCGGCTACCGTGTCTGGCGGTTGCTGTCATGACTTGTGACCTGTGAAGCAATCGCCCTGGCAAGTGCTGTCGTTTCACTGAGAGCTCGACTCAGTGACGTCGCAAAATCTGGAATCTCGTTAAGCTGATGAGCCAGCGCATGAAGTTGAACCATCTTGCCGCTTGCCCCGAAGGTTGTTGTCTTGCGTTGGTTGTCTGCTGAGTTTGGCGAAGCAACCGTTGCATTCTGGCAGGATGAGCCCTTGCAAATGCTGTGGTTTCACTGAGAGCTCGACTCAGTGACGTCGCACATTCTGGAATCTCGTTAAGCTGATGAGCCAGCGCATGAAGTTGAACCATCTTGTCCCGACTGTCGCGTGGCAACCGCTTCATTCTGGCAGGATGAGCCCTTGCAAATGCTGTGGTTTCACTGAGAGCTGGACTCAGTGACGTCGCAACATCTGGAATCTCGTTAAACTGATGAGCCAGTGCATGAAGTTTAACCATCTTGCCCGAATGTTGTGTTCCTGCGGGCGTTGTCTGGCTGCTGAGCCTGGCGAAGCAACCGTTGCGTTCTGGCAGGATGAGCCCTTGCAAGTGCTGTGGTTTCACTGAGAGCTCGACTCAGTGACGTCGCAAATTCTGGAATCTCGTTAAGCTGATGAGCCAGCGCATGAAGTTGAACCATCTTGCCCCGAATGTTGTCTTGCGGTGGTTGTCTGCTGAGCCTGGCGAAGCAACCGTTGCATTCTGGCAGGATGAGCCCTTGCAAGTGCTGTGGTTTCACTGAGGGCTCGACTCAGTGACGTCGCACATTCTGGAATCTCGTTAAGCTGATGAGCCAGTGCATGAAGTTGAACAATCTTGCCCCGAATGTGACGTCGCACAATCTGGAATCTCGTTAAGCTGATGAGCCAGCGCATGAAGTTGAACCATCTTGCCCCGAATGTTGTCTTGCGGTGGTTGTCTGCTGAGCCTGGCGAAGCAACCGTTGCATTCTGGCAGGATGAGCCCGTGCAAATGCTGTGGTTTCACTGAGAGCTCGACTCAGTGACGTCGCACATTCTGGAATCTCGTTAAGCTGATGAGCCAGCGCATGAAGTTGAACCATCTTGCCCCGAATGTTGTCTTGCGGTTGTTGTCTGCTGAGCCTGGCGAAGCAACCGTTGCATTCTGGCAGGATGAGCCCTTGCAAATGCTGTGGTTTCACTGAGAGCTCGACTCAGTGACGTCGCAAATTCTGGAATCTCGCTAAGCTGAACCATCTTGCCCGAAAGTCGTTGTCTTGCGGTGTTTGTCTGCTGAGCCTGGCGAAGCAACCGTTGCATTCTGGCAGGATGAGCCCTTGCAAATGCTGTGGTTTCACTGAGAGCTCGACTCAGTGACGTCGCACATTCTGGAATCTCGTTAAGCTGATGAGCCAGCGCATGAAGTTGAACCATCTGCCCCGAATGTTGTCTTGCGGTGGTTGTCTGCTGAGCCTGGCGAAGCAACCGTTGCATTCTGGCAGGATGAGCCCTTGCAAGTGCTGTGGTTTCACTGAGAGCTCGACTCAGTGACGTCGCAAATTCTGGAATCTCGTTAAGCTGATGAGCCAGCGCATGAAGTTGAGCCATCTTGCCCGAATGTCGTTGTCTTGCGGTGGTTGTCTGCTGAGCCTGGCGAAGCAACCGTTGCATTCTGGCAGGATGAGCCCTTGCAAGTGCTGTGGTTTCACTGAGGGCTCGACTCAGTGACGTCGCAAATTCTGGAATCTCGTTAAGCTGATGAGCCAGCGCATGAAGTTGAACCATCTTGCCCCGAATGTGTCGTCGCACAATCTGGAATCTCGTTAAGCTGATGAGCCAGTGCATGAAGTTGAACAATCTTGCCCCGACTGTCGCGTGGCAACCGTTGCATTCTGGCAGGATGAGCCCTTGCAAATGCTGTGGTTTCACTGAGAGCTGGACTCAGTGACGTCGCAACATCTGGAATCTCGTTAAGCTGATGAGCCAGCGCATGAAGTTGAACCATCTTGCCCCGAATGTTGTCTTGCGGTGGTTGTCTGCTGAGCCTGGCGAAGCAACCGTTGCATTCTGGCAGGATGAGCCCTTGCAAGTGCTGTGGTTTCACTGAGAGCTCGACTCAGTGACGTCGCAAATTCTGGAATCTCGTTAAGCTGATGAGCCAGTGCATGAAGTTGAACCATCTTGTCCCGACTGTCCCGTGGCAACCGCTTCATTCTGGCAGGATGAGCCCTTGCAAATGCTGTGGTTTCACTGAGAGCTGGACTCAGTGACGTCGCAACATCTGGAATCTCGTTAAGCTGATGAGCCAGCGCATGAAGTTGAACCATCTTGCCCCGAATGTTGTCTTGCGGTGGTTGTCCGCTGAGCCTGGCGAAGCAACCGTTGCATTCTGGCAGGATGAGCCCTTGCAAGTGCTGTGGTTTCACTGAGAGCTGGACTCAGTGACGTCTCAAATTCTGGAATCTCGTTAAGCTGATGAGCCAACGCACGAAGTTGAACCATCTTGCCCCGAATGTTGTCGTCCTGCGGGGTTGTCAGGCTGCTGAGGGCATTCTGGCAGGCCGATCCATTCCGAAACCTAATGTCCACTGCCCCCAACCTACATTTAGGAGTCTTGGAAGGGATGGGAGAGGCCAAGTGACTTGTGGCCGTGTTGAGGTTGACATCTCGTCCTCTGAAGTCGTCCTGCAGTGTCGGAAAGTGCTGAGCTGGGAGGCAACACACAAACCGAACCCCTGAGCCCTTTCGTGAGCGATGTGACAAAGGTCTCGGTCTCTGTGTGTCTCTGCGTGCTGCTTGGGCTTTGAGGTGTGTTTGGTCAGCGTCTTCCAGTTCCAAGCTCCACGAACCCCAACGTTTGGAGTCTGCAGGGTTCTAGACCCTGGCTCCCAAACTCCCTGCCCCCGCTGAACCAGAACTTGTGCATGTCAGGCTGGCGTGGCAGAGAAGTCTGAGTGCACCATCCGGTTCAGGGTAAAGGGTGTTGGGCTTAGGGTAGGGGGGTCTGAGGTGGTTTAGGCGCGAGTTAGAGCTTAGGAAGTGAAGGGCGCCGAGTACGTGGCTCCAGGAACCTTCGAACTGCGCCAGACAGGAGGAAAGATGTGCACCTTTCCCTGCCGCTTCGTCCTGGGCAATTTTAGAGCATTAGGTCCCTAAACCCTAAACCTAAACCCTAAACCCTAAACCCTAAACCCTAAACCCTAAACCCTAAACCCTAAACCCTAAACCCTTCAGGGACTGTACAGGGCGCCTTCCAGTTCCTTTTCTAAGCAGTCCTACCCAAAATATTCTTGCACGATGCCAAACCCGAACCGCAAAACCTGAGCCCCAAAACCTAAACCCTAAACCCTAAACCAGAAACCCAAAACCTAAACTGTAAAATCACGAGAGCTTAGGGTAGGGGGGCCGCTCCCAGGTCCGTGACCTGCGCCGGGAGCCCAGCGTGCTGTGCCTCTGCAGTCTGGCGGGTAAAGTCGAAGCCCGGGTACCCCCCTAAGCCCTAAACCCTAAACCGTGATCCCAGAGGGGGTCTGCTAGGCGGGTGGCAAAAAAAAACCTAACCCGACCCCCCACCCCCCCCCCAACCCCCAACCCCCCCCCAACCCCCCCCCCACCCCCCCAACCCCCCCCAACCCCCCCAACCCCCCCAACCCCCCCCAAACCCCCCCCAACCCCCCCCAACCCCCCCCAACCCCCCCAACCCCCCCAACCCCCCCCAACCCCCCCCCCCCCTTGTTGACTTAGGGAAAAGCCTCGAGAACGCGGAGACGACGCGGGACAAGCTCTCATCGGAGAAGGCCCATGGGCTGGCTTGAGCAGACATCCAGGCTCCATGTTGTAGCTATAGCTCCATTACGGTAGGATGTTTGCTCGTGTTATGTAAAGCCCGGCGGTACCTAAAAATTCCCAACTTCCATACGAAGAGCCCTTAAGAGAAGCGTGTTGGGCAACTGTACTGGAACGCGGGTTGACCACTGTCTGTTCTTGCGCAGGAGATGTTGGGAGGTGCGTTTGGGTGCTCCACTGCTTATCCGCGCTCGAAACCCGTTAGGCATTGTCATTCCTGTGCCCGAGATCCTGAACGCTTAGCCCGGAGAAATTGCCCCTAAACCCCAAACCCCAATCCCAAACCCCAAACCCCAAACCCAAGCCCTAAACCCTAAACCCGAAACCCTAAACCCTAAACCTTTCCTGAGCCCAGACATATACAGCCTAGTTCCCTGCAGAGTGTCCGAAAGGTCAGCTAAGCGGGTGGCAAAAGAAAACCCTAAACCTTAGACCCTCATTGGAGGACAGCCTCTCGGTGCGCTACGCAGAGATGCAAAAGCGATCCCAGAAGGATATGCTTGTTTTGCTTTGCGACCTGGGGACTTACAGGGCTTGTTGGGTTTGGGAGGACATGGGGGGTTTACGAGGTCCCCTAAAGAGCCCCCCCCCCCCCCCCCCCCCCAAATAGTAGGATTCCCTTGTAGAAAGACCCCCAATAAGATACCCCTAATTTCGGAAACCGCCACACGATAAGGGTTCCCCCCTCCTAAAGAGTTCCACGGTTTGCCGTGGACTCCTGCCCTCTTCTGGCCCCTACAGACTGTCGCTGCAGACCTACTGTTGGCTTAAGAACAGAGTATTCCTCTTTACAAGGGCAATAAAGGGATTTATCATCTTTGTGTTTTTGGGGTTCTTAAGCAAGTAATGGAGATGTGCGGGCGAAGCACCAAAGCGGACCGTTCCCGCGAGAGGACAGGCATCAGTCTGATGAGTCTCACAAACAGCCGCTGGTCTGAAGCCTGAAGTGAACCCTGAACCCGAAAAACGCTAAAACCTAAAACCCTAACCCTAAAACCCTAGAGCCCTAAGACCCTAAAACCCTAAAACCCTAAAAACCCTAAGAACCCTAAAAGCCCTAAAAGCCCTAAAACCCTAGAACCCTAAACCTGGGTGGGGCTCATGGGTTGTTCTGGTCTTTATGTGATCTGTGTGGGGGCGAACCACTCATGGGAGAGACAGAAGGGTTCTTCGATAATCGATGGACAACCCTGTGTGGCTTTGGTCAGCTATTATAGGTAGCGATGGAATTTCTTGGGTTTTAGGGTGGCGTTCAAGTTCTGATGTCGTCATGCTTGCGCGGCAACCAGAATGGAGAAAGGCGACGCGTTGGCTTGTTTTATGGCCTGACAATGGGGAACTCTTTTTGCTGAGGCAGTGCGTGCGGCGTCTCCTTGGGGATTCGCGTACGCCTTTTCAAACGTTCATGCTTAAATCGTGCGCGACTTGTTTGGGAAATACAAGAAATGCAGACAGCGTAGGGAAGTGGGCAAGGTCATGGGCAGTCAGGCGCGTCTCACATCGCCGGGTAGAAATACGCATCTCAGGAGGGTCCACTTTGGGAAGCGCCTGCGTGTAGCCATGTTCGATCTGCAAATGACATCTCGCGTATCGTGAGTGTCGAGCTGTATCGCCCGTTGAGAACGAAGCGCTGCGTCCACACTGGGGCTTAGACATGCTTGGATGATGTTTCTGTCAGCCACCCTAAACCCTAAACCCTAAACCCTAAAGCCTAAACCCTAAACCCTAAACCCTAAACCCTAAACCCTAAACCCTAAACCCTAAACCCTAGACCCTAGACCCTAAACCCTAAACCCTAAACCTCAAACCCGGCCATGCCTTGGAGACATGTGGTTGTGCGCGGCGTCCCACGGGGTGTTGTGGTAATTTGATACTCGATGTCGTGCTTGCTAGGCAGGTGGCGAAAAATCCCTAAACTCTCGTTAACCCCCCAGGTTATGCCCAAGACCAAACATAAGCTTGGGCTTGGAAAAGGGGGCTTCAGCAATTTCACGCAGCTCGGGGCAGTGTTTGATGTTGGGCATGTAGCGCTGCCGAAACCCAAGAGACCTTGTGAACGTGAGCGTCGGCTTTCGGGGCAGCTCCTTCAGAAGAGAAACCCCAAACCCAAAACCCTAAACCCCTAGCCCCCTTAAACCCTAAATCCAGCCTAAACCCTCAATTAACCTAACCCCCCCCCCCCCCAATGTCCCCATCCTTGCCACGGTGGGTACTAAGGAACCTGGACATCTTGAGCAACCTCGAGCGGATGGAGAAGCAGGATGGGTGCCTTTGTTTAGAGATCGGGGTTAGGGCTTCGTATCTCTACAGTATGGGGGGTTTCCGATCTTAGGGGGTGCCTTCTTGGGGTCCCTATTAGGGAATCCTACTATTTGGGAGTCGGTCATCGGGCTCCCTTTTTCCGTAAACTCCCATATAAGGCATGTTTGGGACTGAAACAAAGAGGACACGTGATGTGGCAGAGCAAGATTTCATTGCCACCTGAGCTGCTTTACCGAGAAGCCGCAGGGTTTGACTGCTTTGCTTTTATGTTCCTTGCTTTTGTTGTCTTCGCATTTTTCTGTGTAAAATTAAGCCACGAAGTTTCTGACGACCCTTTTGCATGTACAAGTAGGAGATTGTTTTTGATACAGTAGGAACCCAGGAATTAAGAACTTAACCGGGCGCGTTTGGGATTGCAGCTCACACCTAGACCTAGGCTTTGGGATGTTCCCCCTTATACTAACAGTCCTCAATAGGGATTATAGCACCCCCCATGATCATTCCTATTAAGGACTGTTAGTACACGGGGGAGCATCCCAACCTAGACACCTAGACTGCTTCTTCTCGTCCTTCAAAGCCTTGAGGAGTGACATAAACACGGCAGCCCCAAAGCACAGACCTCAAGACCCACCACCCACCTCCCGCCCCCCCGCAAACCCTAAGGGACGCTTCATGCCGCCTCTGGTAGATGATCAAATTTCATGGCCCATAATCTACTTATCAGGGATTATAGTCGCCCAGGCTACATGATCCCCGTTTTCGTGGGGTCTCCAGACCCTAAACCCTAAACGCCGTCGAACCTGTGCTTTGGGGACAGGTCGAGGCCCTACGGAAGCAGGACCGCGAGACCAACGCGGAGCTGGCAAAGCTGCCAGAGACCTTAGGGGTTAGGGTTTCGGGTTTAGGATTTTGTGCGGTTTGGGGTTCAGGGTTCAGGGTTTAGGGCTGGGGCTGCAAAGGGGTGGAGGCTGACAGGCTTTAGGAAACGAAGTGTTCCAGGTGCTTGGAAAAGAGATTGAACTACGCAGGAAAATAGGGTCTGTAGGGTTTTGCGATTTAGGATGCGGCATCTGGTGGAGTAGCAGAAGCCTGCTAAACCTGCAGGTTGCACATCTGACGGTTTGCTTCTTTGAGCCATTGTTCAGGGATTAGGGTCTGGGTTTAGGGCAGCCCTGCCGATCGAATTCGGCCCACTTAGAAGATTTGCGAGGCCTCGTCACAAGGATGGTGCGCACACGTCCGGGATCGTTCTGAAATAACGAAGAAACTGTGATGGGGATGGGGTGGTATCGCAAGAAGGGGACGCATCTAAGCCCTATTATCACTGAGATGCAGAGTAAATCGGCCTTGGGATGTTAAACACATGCCCTCAACCTTGCAAAACCCTAAACCCTAAACCCTAAACCCTACACCCTAAACCCCAAGAGCGATTAAGCCCTTTGAGGAAATTTTAGAACACCCCTGTGAGCTGAGGCAACACCAAGTCAAAGATCAAGAGACGCGGAACAAGATGGTGGAGGCATCTTTGGAGCCGCAGCTTATTGTTGGGCCTGGGGTTTGGGGTTTAGGGATGTTTAGGGTTTAGGGTTTAGGGTGGTTTACAAAAAGGCACGTCGGGGGGGCGGTCTAGCGACGCAGAAGTTCCTCAATTCATCCCAAGAGGGGCTCTCAGGGTTTATGGGGTTCAAAGGGGGAACCTCGTGGAGTTAAGTTCGATAGGCAGCTAGCTACTTGCGAGCAAGCCGTTGCATCAAAGACCACGTTTGGGTTCAGGGTGAGAGGGCCTCAACAGAAAGCGAGCAAAAGGCCGAAACCAAGATGTACGGCATAGCAGCCTGGCCTAGCGCTGTGCATGTCATTCTTTTTTTGTTTAGGCGGGGGGGGGGTTGTCACAGCTCTCTTGTTAAGGCAGCCATGTATGCCCTAGAATCGCACTAGAAGCTAAACCGCACTGTGGCCCCGTGGAGCTTTGCTAGACGGGTGCCAAAAGAACATGAAAAAGACATGCCCTAAACCCTAAACCCTAAACCCTAAACCACGCCGGGGACCCTGAGGCACAGCTGAATGCCGAAAGAGCGCCGGACTCAGTTCCCCTGGACGCCGAGATTGGGGTCTTCCGAAAAGATCTGGTTGCAAAAAGGATTGTGTAGTACCCTTTTTTGTCCTAGAATGAGGATGATGTGTTTTGTGCAGTTTCTGCAGGGGGAATCCCCAGACTTGGGGAAATGCCCCAGATGTTGAGGGGCTCGGAAGAGCTCTTGAGCCGTGCGGGTCCTCGGTTTCTCTTCCACTTTGTGAGGTGAAGAACGCCAACCTTGTGCCGCTGGATCAGTTTGAGGTGGGGTTCAGGGTGAGCAGTCTCCATTCTCAATCCAGGGTTTCGGGTTTCGGGTTAGGGTTTGGGGTTTAAGGTTCTCCGACAAAAAGGGTTTAGGGTTCAGGAGCGGCACTGCTGCTTGCTGCTTAAATACGATGGCTCTTTCCTAGTGTGGTTCTTGCCTACCGTGCCCTGATCGACAGGATGCGCTAAGAAAAACGGGTGGCCTGCAGCTGTTGAAGTGACACCTACTGTCCGAAAAAGAATAAAAATCGACGACCCAGAGTAGGCCCGCATTCCCTTTCTATTTTTGGGTCTAGGTCCCCTTATCAGCCCCTTCACACCAAAAGGGCACCCTGTTTACTCCCATGTTTCTCTTGTGTCCCAAAGCAAGTCATCCCGTGCCCTCCTCAAGGCTTCGCTGGTAAGGCGACTTGTGGAAGGTGGCCCTGCCTCTGCCCTAACCCCTAACCCCTAACCCCTAACCCCTAACCCCTAACCCCTAAACCCCCTAAACCCTAAACCCCAAACCCTACACCCTTCAGCCTTCAAACCCTAAACCCAGTTGCGAAAGGCGGCGAAGGAAGAGATCCGAGCGGCCAAAGCAAAATGTGGTAACCCCAGGGTTTGGGTTGGGCGTTCCTGCTATCATGGTTTAGGGGTTACGATTTAGGGTTTAGGGTTTCGGGCTTGAGTTCCTGCTGTCGTGGGAATCCCCCTTGGGATCCCCTACTTGGAGGTTCACGGGTACTTATAACCCCCAACTATAAGTCTACCTCCTTAGAGGACTTAGGGGGGGCTCCGCAGTGCAGCTATCATTGGGGTTCTAAGTACCCTGAACCTCCAAGGTTGTACCTTGGCTTTTGGGGGCCCCCCTTTTCATAAAGATCCCCCTAAGGGAACAGAAGTGTCAGGCTCCAACCTCAGGTGCCCGAGTATGACTCCCTTGATGGTAGGCTTTCCCGGCGTCTTCAGCTCCTGCTTCTCTGGGTTTAGGGTTTTGGGCTTAAGGTTTCGGATTTGGGGTTTCGGGTTTAGGGTTTTGGGGTCGGGGTTCGATCCGAAACGGGGCTCCTTTTCAGTCGCGTCCTTGAAGCCGCTGGGGGAACGTTGTGGCCGTGCGTAAAGCTTTTGACTCCGCAGCAGGGTTTGGGGTTTAGTGTTCAGAGTGTAGGGAACCCTCCCTGTCCGCATGGCATAGGGGCAAAGCTTGAGAGACGAAACAAACCGTACCCAAGCAGATCAGGTCGATTAACTCTAAAACCCTACGCGCGAAGCCGCTTGCAGCCCTAAACCCTGAACCCCCCCCAAAAAAAACCCTAAACCCTAAACCCTAAACCCTAAACCCTAAACCCTAAACCCTAGCAGTGATGAAGAGCCAAAGGTGTCCAGTGGGAAGAGATGTGCGGCCCTCGTGAGAAGCCTTCGTGCACATGAGCTCTTGTAAGCTCCCGAGATGCCCCTCGGAACCCTAAACCCTAGATTCAGCTGTAGGGTTTAGGGTTTCGGGTTGAGGGGGTTTAGGGTTTAGGGCTATCGGGGTTCAGGGTTTAGGGTTCTGGGCTTAGGGTGATTGGCGTTTGTACCCAGAATCCCCTATAACGGACCCTCCCCCCCCCCCCCTAGCCAGCAAGGGATCCCTAATTTTCCCCCATGTGGCGCCTTGTTTGTCTTCTCAGGGTTTTGCGGAGACCGTCTACACCCCGCAGATACCCCATAGAACGCCGAAAGGCCCACTCGACAAGGGAGAATTGTCAGGGTCCTCTTGCGGGGTTTAGGGCTTTAATGGGACGAACCCTCAGGTATGCGGCAAAAGAGAAGGACGGGCTTCAAGCACCTTTTTTCAAGTCTCCGGAGTGCAGGGTGGGACGGGAAGTCTGGGATGGTGTAGATTCCCAGTTGCGGGCCTACAATCATAGCCTTTTCCTTGTTGGAGTTCCCTGCAAGCAGGATTACCAGAACATTGTGGAAGCCTACAAGCTCGTCAGTAACCATGACACCGCGGGCGTGGAGGCATGGAGGGCTCCAGTTCGGCAGCTAGGACTTTGGGATGTTTGCGAGCTTGCGCGCAAGTGTGTCACGAGTCCCTCTGCAGTGCTCACCTTCCGCGCATACGGAGTTCACAGGGTCAACCCAGCAAAGGATACGCAGTGGGAACCGGGGACCTGGTGTGGGAGTCGCTTGTGCCCACCAGCGCTGCGCAGCCGCTCTCGTCATCCTGATGTCCGCTGATGGCTTGAGCCCATTCAAAGCAGCTTCGAGGAGAGGTATGGAACGGGGATGGCCAGTTCGGCATATCTTGAAGCTTAAGTAGGCGCGGCTCGAAGCGCTGGCAAGACATGGGGCAATTCATCTGCCCACAGCTGCCTGAGATTGAGCATCCTGGTGGAAATGCGGCTGGGGGGGCATGCTCGTCATACTCTGAAGCTCTCCACCGATGTCTGCACTGCCCATGGCAGCTTCAAGGATGGCAGGTCCCAGCAACCGAGCAAGGTCAACAAATGTCAGTAGGACTGCTACAAGAAGGGCGGGCGCGATGTCGAACAGTTGCCAGGAGCCTCTGGGCGCCACTGGAGACTTGGGCAATATGTTGGTGTGGAAATGATTCAAGAAGCAAAGGAGGGCTTACACGTTCCCTTAGTGGCTAGCTTTAGGGGCCCAGTGCATGCGCCCGAGCCTGGAAACCCGATGGCTGGATATGGCCCAGTGCAGTGCACGTCTTGCGGGCTCTGCATGCAAGAGAACGCCATGGTGACCGGCGGGTTCCATGCAGCTTGTACGACCTGTCTCACGGTTGTGCGGTTCTCTGCGATCACAAAGAGCCCCAGTTCGAAGCCTTCATGGCACGGTACACGAAACTCAGGTTGCCAGCAGGAGCGTTCCAGGCCAGACGAGGTTCCTGATGACGCCCACCGAAATGCAGACATCGAGCCACCTGTGATGCAGCAATTCGTTGTTCGCCGCTTCATGGATGATGATGATGATGATGAGGAGTTATTCATGTGGAAAAGGGTACCATCCGAACATGCCCTGTCCCCACGTCAGCCCTCCATCAGCCGTTGAAATCGGCTACGCGATCTGCAGCCGCCACTTTGATGACTTCAACCTCCCAAGCCAGACCTTGAACCCCAACTACCTGATACCCTTCTTTGGCATTTGGGCCCAACCTCAGGGTTATTGGGCTCCCTAGCCCTAAACCCTAAACCCTAAACCCTAATCCCTGCCTGCACAAATCGAGAAGTGTACCAAGCAGCAAAATCAATCCTTGCCTGCCTTGTGCGAGTGTGAGAGCTGAACACCCTAAACGGAGGGAATTAGGGGCCCTATGTATACCTTTTAAGTAAACTGTTCAGGGATGATAGGGTACCTCATTCCCTTGTTCCATTAATACTAAGAACCAGGGGGCTATTGGGCTGATTTGGGCAGGCGAGACCACTCACACCACGTCCCTACTGGTCTCACTGCCGAGGTTCCGGGGAGGGGGGCCAAGGTTCAGAGCGGACATGTTCTTGCGGTTTGGGCGGTTTGGGGTTTCGGGTTTAAGGGTTTCGGAATGCCAGGGATCTTCAGGGAGGATATGAGCATTCTGGAAAAGTTTGAACGGCATGACTTGCAAGCAAAGCTGGGTCTTGGGTCCTGGTCGTGGTTGCGGTTTAGGGTTTAGGACTTGGGGCTTAGGGCCCAGGGCTTATAGGGCTAGTCTGAAGGGTCAGGACATGATAGCCCGGATGCAAAAAAGAAAGGCTAGTTTCAAGGGACCGGGTTCATAGGGTGTTTCGGGCTTAGGATTTCGGGGCCATGGTGCCAAATGTGCAGTACAATACCTTGAATTGCGCTCGTGGTCGGGTCGCGCCCTGAACCCTTCAGGCATTTTGGACCCGGATGCTTTGCGTACCATGCAGCAAACGGACTTGCTGCAGGAGTGCTGGGAACCGGTCTTGAGTTCGATTTTGGGATGTATGGGCGGCTTTCAACCCAAGGCCCTTTGAGCTTCTTGGCGTGGGTTGTTGTCGCTGTAGTTGTAGGATTTTCTTGTTGGTTGCGTCAAAAAGGCCGTGACAAGCTCTCAAAATCCGAAACCCGATGCCATCCATGAGGACCTGGTCATGCGGATTGTGGCGACAGCCAGGTTCATCCCCCAGATATACCTCTGTACATACACACATGTCCATGCGTATGAACAAAAAATATATCTATATTTATATCTATATATATATACATTGGTACAAACAGTTACATATGCAAATGTATAGGTCTGTGTACATATATGTGTACACACACACACACACGCACGCACGCCTTTGAGGGTTTGGATGGCAAGGATCTGGAGGTTCTTTCTTTCAGAGATCTCCGTGCCCGAGGCTGTCGTACCACGCCACGCAGCAGATACACCCCCCTTCCCCTTTAGGGTTTAGGGTTTAGGGTTTATTGAAGTTATTCAGGGTTCAGGTCCGGGGAAAGTTTCGAGGAGTTTCGTTTTTTGGATGTTTTTGAATAATTTCGAGTTACAGGGGGCTTGAGGGTGTAGGGTTTAGGGGCCCTCCCCAATCCTCTCCATGCCGTAAACCCTTCAACGCTGCAAACTCCCTCAACCCGACAACCCGAAACCCCAAGAAGGAATTCCAGACCCGAAGCCCTACACCCTATCCCCAAACCCCAAGAAAGAATCCCAGACCCGAAGCCCTAAACCCTGGAGCCCAGCACACATGCGACCCACTAAACCCTCAACCCTCAACCCTAAACCCTAAACCCTGAACCCTAAACTCCAAACCCCACCCAGGCAACTCCTCTCCGCGTATGGGCTCCACAGCGCCACGCAGAAGCTGGGGTCTCGCTTTTAGGGGTTTAGGGGTTTAGGGTTTAGGGTGCTCCAGGTTGAAATGGGTTTAGGGTTTAAGGCTTTAGGCTTTGGGGTTTAGGGCGCGGATGGAAGGCCCGCCTGCAATAGTGCGATCGTTTTTGCGTTGTGGGGTTTAGGTCCATCGGTCCATCGGGCTTAGGCTTGGCATGTGCGTTCAGGGTTTCACGTTTTTTTGCTGCGGCTTGATTGTGGGTTTGCAGGGTCCGTAGGTGTGCTCGGGGCGTCCCCCAGTCCTCAGCACTGAGACTTCGTTTCTGTGTTCAATCATGTCCACAAACCTGAATTGTCCCAGAATCTCAATGTGGGTGCTCAGACTCAGCTTCAGTGAGGCCCGACCCTAGCCCCTCACACTTAACCCTAGACCCGTCCAAGTGTGAGCGGCGATGAAAGCCATGCATGAGAAGAACTTCCCAGGTCCATTGTCTTCGCGAAGTTCGCCAAGCTGCTCGGCATGCATCCTCGCCACCTGCAGATAGCAGCAGATCCTCAAGGGTCTTCGAGATTCAGGGTGAGGGGGTTGCATGAGACTCAGGGCTTAAGTTTAAGCTCAAGACACTTGCAAGGTCTCCAAAATGCATTCATCTGTGCGAGACGCGTTTGATGCATTCCATCACACAGCCCAGGCACCCGACGACCATGCCTTTGGCTCCTCGGCTCGGCAATCAGTGTCAGAGGATCCACGGCAGGGTGACATCGGAGACGAGAGAGCAGCAGAGGACATCAGAATACTTTTCCCGCCAGGTCTCGGATGCGGCGATGTCTTTGGGCGACAGGCTTTGCACTTGGCATTTGGGGATACAGTAGAAACGCTTGGAACTGCAATGTCCACAAGCGCCCAACTCGCCCACCCAGGTAGACTCAGGGCGTGGCAAACAAACCTGCCTATACACCGACATGCTGACAAAGCCCCGTGCAAGCTTCGAGATTTGCATCCCGATTTGTGGGACTAATTCGGGAAGGCAGAAGACGCCGCAGCAGGCACGTTTGGGAGCAGTGGTTGTGTGATGTTGTGATGTTGTGTGTCATGCATCATTACATTACAGACATAACGCGCATCATAACATGCATTACATGCAGTACATACATTGCATACATTGCATACATTACATTCATCATATACAGTACACACATGCTTGCGCAGAAGCAGATGTGTACACATGCTTCTTGTCTCTAGCCGGGGGTGTGCCCAGTCATGACAGGACTGTGCAGCGTGCGTGACAGTGAACCTTGTTGCAAGCTTCGGACCCACGTCGCAACCCAAATCCGAGCCAGGGCAATCCAGACGAGGGTGGTAAGGAGGAGCAAGGCCTTCGCCGGCGAAACTCCTTCACCCAGGCACAGGTTTTTTCAGATCAAGGTTGGGGTTTTGATGGCTTTGACTTCGCAGGGTTTAGGGCCCCGTCGCCTCAACATCTTCGCACGGCGAACCCTGTCGCATTGTGAGCTGGATCTACGTTCAGTTTCCTCAGTTGCTTGGCCAGGGAGGGGATGGGAATCTTCGAGCTGGTCATAGCTTCGAGTGGGCTTTGGGCTTCCGGCACTCACACAGCCCCGGCACTATGCACCACCTGAGCCCTCCGCTCTTGAGTAAGATACCCAACTCCTTGCCAGGCATGACAGGGCCGGCCTGCGACCCGAGACCCTACTCACACAGTCTAGTCCCCGCAAATAGGGAGGTGGCTTTCTGCTGTCAGCATTTTGCTCAACGCTTTGCCACCCCAGACCCCACGTCACACCTCCCACACAAAGCCATGGCCAGTGTTGCCCTTCAGATCGAGAACCAGTCTTTTGGCTCTAAACCTCTGAGCAGGTTGGGGAAATTGTGGCTGGGGGCTGGTGTGCTCTTGCCGGGTATGGAATCGAACCCTAACCCCTTACCCGAAACCCTAGACCCTAGACCCGACAAACGGCTCAGGTTCTCCAATCCGATGGTGCCGCGACGACTGCAAGAGACGACGCTTTGCTGTCTCGTGGGTCTTGGAGGGCTCTTCTTAAGCCCGAGGCCATAGAGCGCGAGTCTGCAACCTTGTGCGAGGATTCGGGATGCAAGGTACTTAGTTCCGACTTCCCCAAGAAGTTTCGGTGATTTTTTCGGGCTTAAATGCCGCGTGATAGCAACGCTGCAAGTCCAAGAGCCCAGGCGTGGTCCCTAGCCAGGCGTCAGTAAGCTAAGCCCTCCTAAACCCGGAACCTTGCAGCAAACCCTAGAACATAAACCCTCAACCCTATGTTTTTTCAGAGAAGAAGACCAACAACATGTATGTACTTGTATGTATGTACACATGTATACACGTATATACATATATGCATAGAAGACATACAACACGTATACAGATGTAGATCATATTAGTAAGCTCAGTTGTAAGCCATTCCAAGCCAGAGTGCGCGACCACTGGAGGATGCCAAGCGGGCTTTCGATCCAACTGTCATCGGATGGCTACCGATGTCTCAGGGAGCGTGTGGACAAGGACGATTCGCTCCCCAAGGGGGTTTTGGTGTTTTAGTGTTTTAGGGTTTAGGGTGTTAGGGCTTCATCTGAAGGTTCGCGCATCTGAGTTCAGAGTAGCCGCATGGGCAGACAAGCTCCTTGGCATCGACCAGAAAGATCACGTGGAGTCGTCACGCTTTGCAAGCACGGCGCCTTTGGAGCGCTGAAAAGCTGGGTATGCGCAAGGAAGGGAATAGGTTCCGGATCCCAGAAGCACATGGGGGCATTTCCCAAAACAGGGGTACGTACCCCTTCTACGCCCCAAATAGAATAGAAACCCCTTAAAGGGACCCCTCAAAAGGGTCCGCCTATTCTCGGAAACCCCACATGATCCGACAATGGACCGCCCACCTAAAAAAACCCTGTTGACACTCTGCTGGAAACGTCCCGGAAGCCCATGTGCTTAGTTCCAGGAGCTGTTTCCCATCGCTGAAGCTGCCTGGGGACTGTCGCCTCTGGCGTTCTTGTCCCTTATCCGCCCTGGCTGCACCCCCAAACCCTAAACCCTAAACCCCAAACCCGGCAAAAAAACCCAAACCCTCAGCAACAACCCTTTTAATTCCTGTATAGCGTGCACATGGGTTGCACCTCCGCGTCGGGGGCCGAAGCTGAACTCCAGACATTCCCCAGGCTTTGCGGAGCGCAGCTCTTCAACGTGCTTGTTGTTGCCTTGCTGGTGTTTCTGGACATCTTCTTCCTGGACGAGGCTTCCGCGCCAGAAGGGGCCGGTCCGATCGGGTCCCCCACGACCGCAACGCACAGAGGGGCATCTTGTGTTGTGTTGGGTTCCCGATTCCTGAGCAGCAGCCAAGTCATCCGGTGTTCGTAGAACTTGATGGGTGGTCCAGGTAAGCCTCTACGTGGTGGAAGGCATCCTTGCCGTTTTCGGCACAAGTGGCGTCGCAGCCTGGCGTCACTGGTGCCATAGCGTTGGCTTCTCGAACTGAAGAACAACACAAAGACATAGTCCTGCATGAGGTGCTGGGCCTGTGGCGGCTCCACAGCCGCCTTCGCAAAGCCGCCAAAGAGGCCCAGGATGGTCGTTTAGGGTGTAGGGCTTAGGGTTTAGGGACCCCCAATATAGACCCCCAAATAGTAGGATGCCCTTCTCAATAAGAATCTTCAGGGTATGCTGCAGGATGGCTCTCAAGGGGATGTGTTCATGAAAGTCGCGGCCAAGTCTAGAGTCCCAAACCAGCCCGGAACCTAAGCCGCCACAGCCATCGAGGTACTCAGGTACTCACGTATGGGCACTCTGTCTTGTAGCTAGATCCTAAACCCTAAACCCTAAACCCTAAACCCTAAACCCTGTACATGAGCTTGATGCGGGCGGCAATTTGCAGCCTTGCTAGAGCCTGGAAGCCTTGCTCTCACCTTCGGCCCCTAAAGCATTGTGGATGACTAGCTCATCGGGCTCTCAGTGATGTGGACCTCTTGTTGCAGACTTGCCGTGTTCAGTTGTCGTTGGAGAGCCTCATGATGGTAGTGACCTCGGCTCGAGTAGCTAACCAGTTGAGCAGGTCGTTGTCTAGGCTGAGAGGGGGAGTTCTTCTGTTTTGACTGGGTTGCCTACTTATCGATTGGTTGTTTTGTTTTGACTTGACCTCAGACTTGAACTCAGCCTAGATGAGGGCCCCCAGGTTTTGACACCCAGTATGTAACCGCCTTTTCCCTGCAGAGTGTCCGAGAGGTCAGCTAAGCGGGTGGCGAAAAAAAACCCTAAACCCTAAACCCTAAACCCTAAACCCTAAACCCTAAACCCTAAACCCTAAACCCTAAACCCTAAACCCTAAACCCTAAACCCATACCCCACTGTGAAGTGTCTCTTGGCACCTCCCGGCATCCTTTCAGTCTTAAAGTGTGTAGGGTCTTGGCTCGGGTTCGGTGGTCGTAGGTTTGGCTTTTCTAGGGTTTAGGGTTGAGGGTTTAGGGTTTGGCATCCTGGCAGCAAGGAGTCCAGTTGCAAAAAGGGTCTGGCCTCCTCTCACTTAAAACTAAGTTCCAATAGCAGGGTTGCGTAAAAAATCGTGTCGGAGTTCCTTTTTGCTAAGAACCCAGTTTGCGCATGGACCCAGCCCCAAACCCTAGGCGACCCTAAACCCTAAACCCTAAACCCTAAACCCTAAACCCTAAACCCTAAACCCTAAACCCTAAACCCTAAACCGCCCTAAACCCTAAGAGAGGCGGAGGCTGCTCTTCGCGAGGCCTTGGCAGAGGAGCCGCGCGCGGTGTCCGCATACTGGGCAATTGGTTCCACTTCAACTTCCGACGAGGGACGTCTGAATTCAGGTCATTACAGTAATGAGGTTTAGGGTTTAGGGTTCAGGGTTTAGAGTAACTCTAAACCCTGAACCCTAAACCCTAAACCGTAAACCCTAACCCTAAATTTCTGATAGTCTTTCTAGCCTTGCCTATGGAAGTTTGGCTCACCGCGCTGCAAGCTGCCAAAGCTTTCCTTAAGCAGAAGATATCTGCTGCTTCGGGCACATACCAGAGAAAGCTGACAAGGGATATGGTAAGTCTTCGGGTATGAACGGGTCTTGAGTGTTTCTTCGCCACCCATCACACACACAGCGCTGACACACTCAACAGACGACCCGCAGGAGAGCGCAAAAACGCCAGAGCTGACGCTGCAGCTTCTCGGAAGAGTGCGGAGAAGATCCTCCTTAAACCCAAGGGCTGAGTGAGAGTGAAACCCCGAAGCCCAAAACCTCTCCGAGACATCCACATGCTAAGATACTGTAGTTGCATAGCTTTTCCTTTATTGGCCGGCATGCAAGAATAAGCATGTACTTATACACATATCAGATTAGAGTACAGTGCACTCATCGCTCTTTGTATAGCCTACTCACTCGCATGTGCTAAGTACTTCTTTGACACTACACGCCTTGTAAAACAGTTTCATATGCACAATATAGGCATCTCCCAAAATAGGGGCACCCCTTAAAAAGGGGTGGGCCTTTTATACCCCAAAAGATGGACCCCCCTTAAAGGGACCCCAAAGAAGTATTTTCGGAAACCCCCATGTCTTACAAGCTTTCGGCACGCTGCAGATTGAGCGTCCAACCCCAGCCCTGGCACCTGCCGAGACTTGGCTCAATATTTGGAGGGGGGAGGTTGTGCTTCAAATTAGATTCCCCCCCCCTCGCCCCCCCGCACCCTAAACCCTAAACCCTAAACCCTAAACCCTAAACCCAAAACCCTAAACCCTAAACCCTAAACCCTCGCAAAGGGTTTAGGGCCTGCAAGGATCTTCGGCATCATGGCCGTTTGCGAGGGCGCCGTGGCCAACCCGCCTGCCGGGAAGCCGAGTGGGAGTAGACACGGCCAATGCTTAAGACCCGCCCAAAGCTTGTTTCTGGGGGGTTCTTAGGCAACTCGTAGGGTTTAGCGTTTAGGGTTTAGGGTTTAGGGTTTAGGGGGGCAATGTAGGGTGTTCTTAGGCAACTTGTAGGACATGGGTAGACATTTTGGGGGGTGTCAAGATGCAGGTTGCCTTGTGCCTTTCATGTTTCCTGTGTTGCTGCAGACTGCAACTGCCACAAGGCTCCGCTTTCGGACGTGGTACTGGAAGTTTGCTGATGGCATGAACAACTTGCGCTAGGGGCCGCACAGCATCGCAGTTTCAGTTATGGTTTGGATGTGCATTCTGCGGCTCTGTCGGCGTGACCGCTGGCTCGACAAATGCACATCTCACCCTCCCGCCCTGCGCGGTCGAGCGGAGCTTGACCCTTTGCGTTAGGGCTGGAGGGATGTGGATGCACCCGCACACTGACATTCTGGTACAGTTCATCTTGACGAAGTTGAACGGCGAGCGGGTGCGTACCGCAGTTTACTAACCTGAGACCCCACATGCTGCTGTACTGGTCTCAGTCGTCCTCATGGATGGAAAGGCTTTGGCGCGGGCAAGTCGTCCAGGATTGCAATCCAGAAGTGGATTACACTCACATCCGTAAGGCCCCTGACATGATGGAGATTCTTGCGAGCTCCCCGTAACAAGGGCTCCCTGGAACCTACCCGCTTCAAGATCCGTGGGGGATTGGCAGATTTTTCCACACGTGGGCAAGCCCCTTGCCTGAACAACAGGCCCGCTTGTTTCTTCCGCTGTCCAGCGCGGAGGATCGTATAGGCTCGTCGGCTTATTCAAGTTGGTAGGCCATCCAAGAAGGCGCATAATGAAGAGAAATCAACAAGCCGGTGCCCAGGTTCTGATGTCCAGTTTTTAGGCGGACTCTCTCGAAGTCTTCGCTCACATGCTCACGAGGCCCGAAAGGGCTCATGATCCAGGTGCCATATCGCCACAGGCCCGTCTCTTCGAATGCCCTGGGTGTCTGCGAAAAGTATCTTTCATGCAATAGACAAGAGTCCGCATGTGCAGTTTCATAGGAACCGTAAACGGGGACCGCAATCGCCCCGCGACTTCGGCAGCTACCCGGACCAACGGCATTCTCTTATGAGAGGGTATGCACGGGGTGTTCAAGGTGTGGGGCCATTCTTGAGACCCCTTAGCTTTGTTCGTGATTCTTTCTACCACCCCAAGCACTAATACCCTAAACCCTCTTATGGCCGTGAACCGAGTACAACCCCCTGACGTGCCCTCTCCCCTCTGCTCCTGGAGTTGTCCCTCAGTGGGGAAGAGGCCCAGGGATGGCGTTCCTGGTGCCAGCAGGCATATTTTTCAAGCGGCCTCCTTTGAAGCCGTACCATTCTAGCCCACTTTATGATGCGGCTCGACAGGGATTTTAGGGTTGAACCCTAACCTAAACCCTTCACCCTAAACGTGGTTGAGGTGTATAGTCGCTGGGTTGACGTTGCCTGTTGCAGATCGAGGCCCTGTCGGAGCCACACATGTCCGCCTTCTCTAGTATCGTCCGAGACCAGTATCCCTGCGGAGTGGGTCCCGCTCTGCGGGTGCCGAAAAAAGACCCTACATCTGAACCCTAATTATAGGGAGAAGGATCCAGGGGCAAGCAGGGTTATAGTGCCAGCTAGGCCCAGCTATGAGAAGCTTAAACCCAACCTCTACGTTACATTGACATACACGGCAAACCCCTACCCTAAACCCTAAACCCTATACCCTAAGCCGAGCCTAAGCCCTAAATTGGAAAGAGCCGCGCGCTGCATTGGAGCCGCTTTGTTTGCTGCGTGTCGCAGTATTTCGGGGGGTGGAGCCCCGAGGACGCTAAAGAAGGCAGCCAAGGGTGAGGCCTCGGGTTTAGGGTTTAGGGTATCGGGACCCTTATTCTAAGGGTATTTGGGGAGGTTACGTCTGCTTGTAGAGGTGTGGCTGCTTAGGCTCCTGTATCTATGTCTAAGAGAAACAGAGAGGGAGGGAGAGAGAGAGAGAGAGAGAGATAGCGAGAGCTCTCTGCGCGGGGGTTGGCCCCTCAAGCCTAAAGAAAGAAAGAAAGAAAGAAAGAAAGAAAGAAAGAGAGTCACAGCAGAAGAACAGGAGGAGAAGCAGAAGGATAAGAAGAAGAAGAAGAAGAAGAAGAAGAAGAAGAAGAAGAAGAAGAAGAAGAAGAAGAAGAAGAAGAAGAAGAAGAAGAAGAAGAAGAAGAAGACACAGCGAGAGCGAGTTGAAGGTGTTGATGACCCGCGCCAACTGCATTCTGTAGGCTGACCCAAGTGTCCTATAGCATGCAGAGGCCACGTGAGGCCACGCCCTGGCTACCTTCGGACGGATGCTGCGACACGTGGGGCTTTTGTACAGGTTTTCCCGGGCACTTCTTGCTCCCAGGGTTTAGTTAGTCGTCTAAGTTGGTCGTTGCCAGGCTGACTCAGACATGGCAGCTGCTGGCAAGGAGCAAGCAAAAAGAACATCGGTGCTCCAGCGACGAGTGCTCTGAAGGTAGTAGAATGAGGAGAGGGAGGGCGGGAGGGAGGGAGGGAGGGAGAGGGAGGGAGAGGGAGGGAGAGGGAGGGAGGGAGGAAGGAAGGAAAGCCCTCCTCCGGGGTCCGGGGGCCCCCGTGCCAGGCTGCCTCGCCACCGATGTCCTCAGGTCCGCTGGGGCCAGGGTCGGGGAGAGCCGCGCTCCGCGGAAACACGCCCGAATGCTTTGTGACAAGTCGTGAAAGACACCAATCTCCCAACCAAGAGGAGTACTTCTAAGTACAGGACCCAGAATTTAGAGCAGCACACATGATATACTCCCACTCCTACGGCCAGAAAGTGTAGAGCTGAGCCGGTGGCTTGGGATTCCTGTGGCAGGGGATCGTTCCGGCGAGGCGTTCAAGGTGCCCGCCCTGCTCTCCTCGATGCAAGGGGCAATGTGGGCTTGTCCTGGGGCCAACTGAACTATTTCAATTGGTATCATGTACCCCGAGGCAGGGGTAAAGGCATAGGCCGCAATCCTTTTTCACAGGGTTCATGAGGTCTGCAAGGTTTGGGCTGAAAACTGTACTGAGTTCGTGATGTGCGACCCCAACTCCCAACGTGGGAGAAGCCTGAAGTTCCAAACCTGAATCAGAAGTGGGCTGCATCCCCGTGGGCATTTCAAGGCCACCGGCTTTGCGGAGGGTTAAGGGTTTAGGGTTTAGGGTTTAGGGTGTAGCCGATAACCGCATCCGCAGGAGGAGGAGAAGTGGCTACCTGCCGACATGGAGCAGTCAACGCCCGTTGTGCTCAGGCGCCTTTCTCAGGCAAAGAGCAGGGCCGCTTAGGGTTTGTTGGGGTTTAGGGTTTGGGGTTTAGGGTTTAGGGCTTAGGCCGTTTCTTTCTGGAAACTTGTAAGGCCGGTGCGGGTCCCCAAAGCTATCGCCTGCTTAAGGCGATTCCAAACCTTCCTGCCCACAAGCCGCAAACAGCCTTCCGCCTATACCTGAACAGACCCTAGCCCAAGACCAATAAGCCCTCAGCCAGCCCTGAGACCATTCTTTGCCCGAGGCACCCGGAGAAAATCCGGAACCAGCGGTTCAGCAGGAAGAAAGTGCGGGACTTCCTTGAGCCCGCAGACTCAGATTGGAAGTGTCGAGGGTTTGGAAGTTTGGGGGGGGGGGGGGGGGGGGTTCAGAACACAAGTGTTTCGGGTTCATGCTTGGGGCCTTCTGAGGGTTCAGGGTTTGGCAGCGCCTCCCCTGTTGTGAGCTGCTGCTCAACCAGCACTGTAAAGGCTACTCGCGTACCCCTTTTGGATCCTCGGTTTCGGGCTTGTTGGGTTTACTTGGCTGGGCAAAACGGGCTTCTCGGATCCGAAAACCAGATTCGAGCCACGCAGCCGAGTGCAGACCCAATGCAGACACCTGTCACTTGCACCGCCGAAGATGACAGACACTCCGAGCTGATGTGTGTTTGATGATCAAGCTGTTTTATGGTCTGCATTCTCTGATCTCTCATGTCCCTTTTCCTCTCTGCTCTTCCTGTTGTTCTTCCGGGGTCTAATGCCCGCCGTGGTCCCACAGTCGGGTTGTCCAATGTTCTGATCCTGTTGAAGTAGTACGGCGACACAAGCTCCGGGTGAGGAAGGGAGCACTATCACTACCTTCAGTTTTCCGACAGGAAAATGTCGGCCACCATAACCATTCCATAGTCTTGCCCACTCAAAGACTGCAGCAATGGACGCAAAAAACGCCGCAGGCTTCCGTAACTGCACACAATTCGAGCGCGACGCTCGCGCGAACGCTTCGGGGACCCAAGCGCAGTGATCTTTTCGGACATCTCATGGAACCCCTCGGAAGCCCTCGGAACCCCTTTGCAAATGGGAACCCTGCTGCTGCACACAGGGGAATTAGAGCTTAAGGGCTTATAGGGCTGGTGGCTCAGCTGCGTCAGGCGGGTCCTCCAACATCGCAGCCGCGGTGGAGACGCACAAGCCGCAGGGAGTCGGGTGAGGGCGACACTTGCCCCTTACCCCCCTCTTGCCCTCTCCTCTTGCCCTCCTCTTACCCCCCTCTTAACCCCTAAACCTCTCCAGCTTGGAGTGACGGTGCTTGGTCAAAGTCTCTAAGCTGCACCGCGTAAGAAAGGACGCCCAAAACAGCCCCAACTGCTTTGCATTATCATATTTTGCCTACGTAGGACCTATAGGGTCCTCTTTTTGTGGGTGCGTACACAGCAAAAACCAACTAGGGAGACTGGATCTGTGCTTTTCATGGTCCAAATCACCAAACCCTAGGCCCCAAACCCTTCTCACCCCTAAACCCTAAACCCGAAACCCGAAACCCTAAACCCTAAACCCTAAACCCCAAAGCCTCTCCAAGGACAAGGTGCTTTGCAGGCCGGGCAAGGCTCAGTGCCCTTGAGGCCTTGTTACTTTAGGAGGCTACCTAACGTTATGATAGGGTTAAAGGGTTCAGGGTTCAGGGTTCAGGGTTTAGGGTTTAGGGTTTAGGGTACCCTGACCCCCCCCCCCCCCCCCCCCCCCCCCCCACACTAACTGAAACTGGGGTACCCCAAGTTTCTGAGCTAGAAGTAACCGCAAATTGCTCCAAAACCCCGGATCTAGGGGCTTTGTTTCTTATACCATGGTTTCTTATACAGTGGTTTCACTGCAGTTCGGAAGGGTCTTATTCCCTTTTTTGCGGGCTTAGGTTCCCTTATGAGCCCCTCTAAACCAAAACGAGATCTTTTTTCCAGGTTACTC